TGCCCTTGCTTAGGATCTGGGTCACAGTTTTGAAGGGTGGTCCTGGGGCTCGGAGGAGTACTAGCGTGGTGGAGTTTGTAGTGGTGGTGCAGAATAAGTCCTCCTCACAGTTCCAAGACAGAAAAGAGGGCTTTTGGTCACTCATATACCAGAGCACAGGGCAGGAAAGGAGTAAACACCTCACCCCTTAATCATACCACTTTGGAAGAACTGAAAATTTACAGGTCCCTAGAAGTATCTCTGGAAATAGCTGTATAACTCAAGTAATTGTCTGGGAACATGAGCAGACCTCACAAGAAGTGTCAGACTGGGGCAGCTAGGTGGATAGAGCACTGGCCCTGGAGTTAGGAGGACCTGAGTTCAAATCCAGCCTCAGACACATAATACTTCCTAGCTGTGTGACTCTGGGCAAGTCACTTAACCCCAATTGCCTCACTAAAAAAAAAAAGTGTCAGACTATAGAATCTTTTTTTGGTAACAAAGATCAAAACATAAAACCAGAAGAAGACAACAAAGTCAAAGCTCCTACATCCAAAGCCTCCAAGAAAAATATGAAACAGTCACAGGCCTTGGAAGAGCTCAAAAAGGATTTTGAGAAGCAAGTAAGATATAAGTAGAGGAAAAACTGGGAAGAGAAATGAGAGTGGTGCAAGAAAATCATTAAAAACAAGTCAACAGCTTGCTAAATGAGACCCAAAAAAATAACACCTTAAAAAACAGCCTAACCCAAATGGCAAAAGAGGTCCAAAAAGCCAATGAGAAGAATGCCCTAAAAAGCAAAATTGGCCAAATGGAAAAGGAAGTCCAAAAGCTTACTGAAGAAAATACTTCCTTAAAAATTAGAATGGAGCAATTGGAAGATAGTGACTTTATGAGAAATCACGACACAGTAGAACAAATCCAAAGGAATGAAAAATTAGAAAACAATGTGAAACATCTCATTGGAAAAACAACTGACCTGGAAAATAGATCCAGGAGAGAGAATTTAAAAATTATTGGACTATCTGAAAGCCATGATCAAAAAAAGAGCCTAGACATCATTTTTCAAGAAATTATCAAGGAAAACTGCCCTGATATTTTAGAACCAGAGGGCAAAATAGAAATGGAAAGAATCCACCAATCTCCTCCTGAAAGAGATCCCCAAAGGAAAACTCCTAGGAATATTGTAGCCAAATTCCAGAGTTCCCAGGTCAGGGAGAAAATATTGCGAACAGCCAGAAAGAAACAATTCAAGTATGGTGGAAACACAATCAGGATAACACAAGATTTAGCAGCTTCTACATTAAGGGACTGGAGGGCATGGAATATAATATTCCAGAGGGCAAAGGAGGATAGGATTACAAGCAAGAATCACCTACCCAGCAAAACTGAGTATAATCCTTCAGGGGAAAAAATAGTAGTTATTCAGTGAAATAGAGGACTTTCAAGCATTCTTGATGAAAAGACCAGAGCTGAATAGAAAATTTGGCTTTCAAATACAAGACTCAAGTGGAACATGAAGAGGTAAACAGGAAAGAGAAATCATAAGAGACTTATTAAGATTGAACTGTTTACATTCCTGCATGGAAAGATATTTATAACTCTTGAGACCTTCGTCAGTATTAGGGTAGTTGGAGGGAAAAAATTATGTGTAAGTGTATATATAGAGATAGAGGGCGCAGGGTGAGTTGAAGATGAAGGGGGTCATATCTGGAGAATAAAATTAAGGGGTGAGAGGATTATACTGGGAGAAGGAGAAAGGGAGAGGTAGAATGGGGTACATTATCTCACAAAATCAGAAAAGAAAAGGCTTTTACAGTGGAGGGGAAACAGGGGAAGGTGAGAGGGAATGAGTGAATCTTATTCTCACAGGATTTGGTTTAAGGAGGGAATAATAAACACATTCAATTGGGTATGGAAATCTGTCTTACCCTACAGGAAAATAAGGGAAGAAGGCGACAAGAGAGCAGGGGAATGATAGAGAGGAGGGCAGATTGGGAAAGGGGGTAAAGAGAAGCAAACACTTCTGAGGAGGGACAGCGTCAAAAGAAAGAATAGAATAAATGGGCAGAATAGGATTAAGGGAAATAGAGTTAGTTTTTCACAACATGACTACTATGGAAGTGTTTTGCATAACTGCACATGTACAACCTATATTGAGTTGCTTGCCTTTTCAATGAGGGTGAGTGGGGAGGGAGGAAGGGAGAAAATTTGGAACCCAAAGTTTTAAAAACATATGTTTAAAAAAAAAAGTTTTCACATGCAACTGGGAAATAAGAAATACAGGAAATGGGGTATAGAAATCTATCCTTCCCTACAGGAAAGTAGAAGAGGAAGGGGATAAGAGAAGGGGGAGAGAGATAGAAGGGAGGGCAGACTAGGAGAAGGGATATTCAAAATGCATGCCATCTTGGGGTGGGGGGAGGGGGGTGAGATGGGGTGAAAATTTAGAACTCAAAATCTTGTTGTTGAAAACTAAAAATAAATAAAAACAAAAACAAAAACAAAAAAGTCCAGGTAATTGCAAACATTTAGAAAATGCTTTTCTAAATTTCAGGAAAGGATCAATTTAAAGTCACTTGTTCTTTCTTGGGTTTCAGACTGAGATAACAACTGCCTCATCAATCCATTCAAGGTGGCATTGCTAGAGCAGTTTATTTTGCTTTATGTTCACATGTTGCTCTAGTTTTAAGTTTTGTTCATAAGTGGGCCAATTATTAACTCCAAGGATGTTATTATTATTAACTCCAATTATTGACACCAAGGATGGGGCCTCTGTATACCTACTTTTCCTAACTGGATACAGCATAGGATTTTGCTAAATACAGTAAAGAATATCTACTTGCTATATCATGTTTCTTTCAGTTTCAATAAGAAAGAAAGCCCTCGGCCTAATGGCACATCTTAGCTGAATCAGATGCAAGCACCTAAACCTTTGCAGAACCTATGATTTGTAGATAGAAACATTTTTGTTATTTCAAAAAAGCAATAGATGTAAACTCCTAGTGGGCGAGGACTATCTCACTTTTGTATTTGTGTACAGTGCATAGCATATAGGTATGTTAATCTGTTGACTGACAAGAGGAACACAATGTCTCATTCACAAGTAACTTTTTTATTTTTTACCAGAAAATAGGGATGGGGAGAATTTTTTAAAAATTAATTTATTTTTAGTTTTCAACAATCACTTCCATAAGATTTTGAGTTTTAAATCGTCTCTCCCTCCCCCCTCCCTAAGATGGCATGTAATCTGATATAGGCTGTACATATACATTCATATTAACATTTTCACAATAGTCAAGAAGAATTAGAACCAATGGGAGGAACCATGAGAAAGAAGAAACAAAACAAAACAACAAAAGAAAAGGAGAGCAAATAGTATGCTTCCATCTGCATTCAGACTCCCTAGTTCTTTCTCTGGATGTGGATAGCATTTTCCATCATGAGTCTTTTGGAGTTGTCTTAGATCCTTGCATTGCTGAAAAGAGCTAAGTCTATCAAGGTTAGTCATTACACAGTGTTGCTGTTACTGTATACAGTGTTCTCCTGGTTCTGCTCACTTCAGTCAGCATTAGTTCATGTAAGTTTTTCTGAAATCTGCCTGCTCATCATTTCTTATAGCACAATAGTATTCCATTACATTCATATACTACAACTTGTTCAGCCATTTCCCAACTGATGGGCATCCCCTCAATTTCCAATTCTTTGCCACCACAGAAAGAGCTGCTATAAATATTTTTGTACATGTGGGTCCTTTTTCCATTTTTATGATCTCTTTGGGATACAATCCTAGAAGTGGTATTGCTGGGTCAAAGGGTATGCACAGTTTTATAGCCCTTTGGGAATAGTTCCAAATTGCTCTTCAGAATGGCCGGATCAGTTCACAACTCCACCAACAATGCATTAGTGTTCCAATTTTCCCACATCTCCAACATTTATCATTTTCCTGTTTTGTCGTGTTAAATGATCTGACAGGTGTGAGGTGGTACCGCACAGTTGTTTTGATTGCATTTCTCTAATCAGTAGTGATTCAGAGCATTTTTATATGACCATAGATAGCTTTAATTTCTTCATCTGAGAACTGCCTATTCATATCCTTTCACCATTTAGGAATTGGGGAGTGACTTGTATTCTTATAAATTCAGCTCAATTCTCTATATATTTTAGAAATGAGGCCTTTATCAGAAACACTGGCTATAAAAATTCTTTCCCAGCTTTCTGCTTGCCTTCTAATCTTTGTTACATTGGCTTTGTGCAAAAACTTTTCAATTTAATGTAATCAAAATCATCTATTTTGCATTTCATAATGTTCTCTATCTCTTGTTTGGTCATAGATTCTTCTCTTCTCCATAAATCTAACAGGTAGTCTATTCCTTGTTCTCCTACTTTGTTTATAGAATCAGCCTTTTTATCTAAATTGTGTACCCATTTTGACTTTATATTGTTACAGGGTGTAAGATGATGGTTTGGGCCTAGTTTCCACTATACTGTTTTCCAGTTTTCCCAGCAGTTTTTGTTAACTAGTGAGTTCTTATCCCAGAAGCTGGAATCTTTGGGTTTATCAAACAGTGGATACTACAGTCATTGACTTCTGTGTCTTGTGTACCTAACCTATTCCACTGATCCACCACTGTTTCTTAGCCAGTATCAAGTAGTTTTGATGATTGCTGCTTTATAATATAATTTAAGATCTGGTCCAGCTAAGCCACCTTCTCTTGCATTTCTTTTCATTTTTTTGATGGGGAGAATTTTTAAAATGTTAGGGGGGAAAGACTCAGTCAGACAACTCCAAAGCTAAAGCAAGCCACTCAGGTTTGCATTTCGTTTGCTCTTTAAGTTTGATTATGTACAATAGGATTATGGTGGCTTTTGCCCATGTCTGCACTTTTAAAAATAACTAGTAAAGAGGAGCACCTTTTCTTAGGTGGAACACAGGCCAAATTAAGGGGAAAATTTTTTGTGGCCCTCCTTCCCCTCTCTCCTGCCCCAAATGTCTGAAAAAAAAAAAAAGGAAACCCCTCAAAAGTAATTGGTGCATAAAGTCTTAGGGTATGACACTCCCATGACTGTCTGCATTTTAATAGATTAGAAGACTGAAAGGTCTTAACAAAAATAAAAATATTTTAACGGTAGATTATCAGGCAGTTGGAGAAAATTAGGGAAAGTATTTCAGATGTCCCAGGTAAACTGGCTGCTCATAAGCCCACTCTGATCTTTTATTGTGTTCTGTTTTCTCAAAATTGTACAGGCAGCTCAATATACAAGCAGGGAGCTGAATGAAGCAGTATTATGCAAAAACTCAGCAGTCACAAGTTAGCTTCTCTAACTCGTAGGGCATACAGCACATTAAAAGCTACTCAATTCCGGGTGGCCAGTACTTGCTGGACGTTTTTTAGACACTCTGAAACATTTATATAGTGTCAGTGCCAGTCCACAGACACCAATAATCAAGAGAGAGAAGAGTATGTATAAGGCTGTTTCTGCACTGGTGGCATCCAGCGTCAGCCCCAAGAACCGAACTTGCTTCTCTGTCACAGATTCAGCGGTGGGGACATCTAGGAGAGAAGTACATACCAGATGGTTTATTCCCCAAGTTTCAGCTATTCTTCTTATTTCCCAAAGTACCTTCAGTCTAAAAATTCAAATGTAGTTGGAGTCACCGAAGATGGCCTTATCTTTACAATGAAAACATTTGTTTTTCATTATCAGTACTAAAACTACATGTTGCACTTTCCTGGATTATATTAATTTAAATGCCTATCAATGAGCCATTAGTATTATTTAAAGTGTATTCTAGGAATTAGTTTGAACAAATACATCAAGGCTTATGAGCTGAAATGAGATTACGGGTATAAAGCACTTAGCAAATTTTTCAAAGTATGTAGATTTGAACTATTGTTATTATTGACTCTTTAAAGTCTTTCAGAGAGGTGGTCTACAGTAATAGTATAAATTGAATAAGTAATAATCCCTAATGATGGTGATTTATATTTTTAAAGTGTTTTCACACTTGTTATCTGATGATCACAATAACAATATAGGTAATATAATAATAACAGTAGGTAATATAATATCCCAATTTGATAAGTGAGGAAACTGAGGCCAAGAAAGGTTGAATAACAACCCCAAATTATCTAAAAAGGCAGTGGTATGCCAGGGACTAGAAACCTGGTAATATCAATAATAGCTAACATTTATATAGCACTGTAAAGTTTACAAAGCCCTTTAGGTATGTCATTTGGTGCTCGTAATCACCCTGTGAGGTAAGTACTATTATTTTCCCCATTTTACAGATGAGGAAACAGAAAAGTTGTGACTTGACCAGGGTCACACAGCTAGGAAGTGTTTTGAACCAGGTTTGCCTGGCTCCAAGTCCAGGCTTCTTTCCATTAGGCTCCACTGGCTTTCTCTGAGCACCTTCAATTTAGAAAACTCAGAATGCCATTAGTTCCATGACAAGAATCTCCTGGAACATGTGTCACATTGGGCTTTAGGGACCTAGTGAAAGACAGAGACAGAGCACACCTTCCCTTTTCACCCAGCCTCTTCTCTTTCTAGTTTGAGGCAGCTCCTGCCGTGTCTCACCTTCTGACTGGAGGCAGGGGTGTGGCCCATTGGCTGGGTCTGGGAAGCCATTGCATCTGATTATAGAAGCATACAACTTGGAAGATTCCTTGGGGATCCTTGGGATGGAGGGGTCACTGTAGTTTGTGAAATACACACCGAATCTCTCAGCAAAGCCAGTGGCCCATTCAAAATTGTCCATCAAACTCCAAAGAGTATAGCCACGTATATCCACGTTATCCTGGATAGCTATATGAACAGAGAAGCCCAGATATGAGGTTTCCTGAGGGCTATGCACAATGTTATCCTTAGCAGCACTTTAACACGCCTCTCCCCCTTCCTCACATAGAAAGCTTCATATTCTAGAAATTCTTCCCAAAATCCTTTCTGCTCTTAATTATCCTCATATCCCCACCCTATTTTGTTTGTCTTGTGCTCATTTTACAAACTGAGATTGCAGAACAGGGAGACAACCTATCCGTTCTACCATGGGAATATGGGGTTATAGACTGAGAGCTCGAAGAGAGGTGATAGGAGGATTCTGCCACTTTGCTGTCTAGGAGTGACTTGGCCTTCTGCTTTACTTGGATTAGAAATCTCTTCCTATCTCTCAGGGCTGCCTATGTCAGTCAGTGTGTGGTCTCTTACCATCTAATTTTCTTTATACAACAGGCACTACACACAAATAGGAAATAAATGGAAACTCATTTCACTAATCATTAAGCAAGCATTTGATTTGTGTATAAAGGTTTTCCTAGGGTTTTCAACAATCTAAGGTCTTGGACACTTTCTTTGACAACTAAGTATGTAAATAAAATTCTCTTGTTCTCAAAGCACAATAGTTTTGGTGAGCGAAGGCTCTAGGACCCTTTTCCTCTGCAGAACCAAGACCTAAGCTCCTTGGAGTCTGGGTTTGGTCTTAACTCTAGGCTGTCCTGCCACTTGGACAATCTGTAAACTGCTTGCTGTAGTACACAACTGTCCACTGGAGCTGGTCTTATGAAGCCACAGGTCTGGAAAGGCCTTGACCATTTGCAACCTTTCAGGGCCTGACTCCTGGGAACAAAATAGAGGACCAAAATAAGTGAGACATGTTGTTTTGAATTCAACAAATGATTTTCTGGCCTTTTTCTCCTCACTTCAAATGAGCTAATTATTAAAGGGGAACAAAATCCAACTTTCATGTAATATCATGGTTGTTATTAAGATCAACAAGACCACTTAAACACTCTTGTTGCATCGCTGAATAGTGATCACTCTTTTCTTCCTACATTTGAAGGTTCCTTTGAAAAGGCCAAATGGCCCTACTAGCTCTAGGTCTGACCTTTTGTCTACTGACCCTTGTCCTACTGGCCCCAGCTTAATAAATGAGAACAGGATCATTTTTGATCACCACAGTCTGTCTTTTTTGAGTTGATTTCACCCATGGAAAAATACTGGGGAGGTAGGCGGGTTGGGGACGTCATGCTTTGCTCTGGGCCTGCCTCGGTCCTCCTTCTCAGCAAGGAATAATTTATGGTAGAAACCAAAGTTTCTAGCCATTGTCATGGTTCAAAGGTTAATAACGCAAAGAGACACAGCTGAAAAACTGAAGTAACTCACTTCAGGCAACTGGCTATTGCCCAAGAGGGTTAAGCCTAGAGAGACAGAATTCAGAGCTAAGAGGGGGCATTTGTCCTCGATGAAACGAGTGATTTACCAGTGAACTACATGTCTTACAAAGCTGCCCTAAGTTTTAATGGTCACTGACTTTTATCTGTGAAGGTCACAAACTGATGATATGCTCAAGTACCTTTGAGAACTTCATCGATGTAAGTCTGGAGGTAATAGATTCTTATGGTGTCATTGAGACTTGAGGATTGTCTCTCAGAAACCCCATTCTCTGTAATATAAATTGTAGGGTTGTTGTACTCTTCCTTTAACCAGTTCAAGATCCTTCTAAAACCAAAAGGAGTAATCTTCAGCCAGAAAGAGCCGGAATCTGGCCAAGTGCGATCTGCTATGGAAGCCGTTCCCCTTGGGACAAGAATTAGACTTAGTGAGAGACAAAAACTTAGATCTCATTTTGCCAAATCCCCATCTATATCCTCCACCTATCTCCAGACTGTGTACATTTAAAAAAAATATATATATATATCTAGATATAGATATATAGATATATATAGATATATATATTTAATTTATGGAATAAAACAAGAATTTCCATAACATAGTATAATAAAAAAAGGTGATTGCACATGAAACTGCAAATCTATTACATACAACTTGCTATTCCTTTTAAATATATAATAAAGTTATCATGTAAATTTCTTTTTTTCTCCCCCCCACCCTAGAGATGGCTACCATTAGATACAAATAGGTATATGTGTGTGTGTGTAATTATCCTATACACACTTCTATTTATCATTTCTTTCTCTGGATGCAGGTAGCATCTTTCTTCATATGTCTGGCTACCCCTCATGCCTGGAAAGCTCTCCCCTCTCATCTCTGCCTCCTGGCTTTCTCCAGACACAGCTCAGGCCCCACATCCCCCCTCCAGTGCATTCCCTCTGGGATTATCTTGCACTGTACATCTTGTATGTACACAGGTGTTGGCATGTTATTCTCCTCCCCCCCCATTAGAAGGTGAGCCGCTTGAGGGCAGGAACCATGTTTTTGCCTTTCTTTGTATCCCCAGCACATAGCACAGTGCCTGACATGGAATGAGCACTTTATATATACTTACTGACAGTTCATTGACTGACCATCCTGGCCTTTCACATAAAATGTTAATTATTCATCATGGGAAAAATGCCTGGATTTGTCTAGACATTTGACTGAACTCATAAAGGGTCCAGTGGGCTACTAGTTCTCTTCCCTGTCAATTTTGGCTCCACCATCAGCTAGCTGTGTGATCTTGACTATGTTAGCAAACTTGTGAGTCTCCAACTTGTACAGTGCCTATACATGGGGTCATTGCCGGTCATCTTGACCTTTGTCCTGCAACTGGACTTGGATGACTCCAGAGGAGAGAGTGAGGCTGATAACTTTTCACAGCTCCGCCCTACTCATGTCCAATTCATGAACAAATCAAGGCATCACCCTGGTAATGGCATTGGTCCTCTTCAAGAGCACGACAGCCTATATGTGCCAAGAACCATAACAAGCACTTTACAAATACTATCTCATTTGATCCTCACAATAATACTGGGAGGTGGGTGCTATTATTGCCCCCATTTTACAAATGAGGAAACAGAAGCAAACAGAAGTTAAATGGCTTGCCCAGGGTCACACCTCTAGGAAATATCGGAGGCTGAATTTGAATTCAGATCTTCTTGACCTCAGGCCCAGAGCTCTATCCACTGTACCACTTACTTGCCCTAAACCAACTCCCTCATTTTATAGATGACAGATCTGAGTCTCAGTGAGGTTAGGTACTTTGTCCAAGGTGACGTAGGCAGCAAGAGCAGAACTGGTATTTCAACCTAAGAAGTCAACTTCTCGATTCCATTTTTCTTTGTGTTCAGAGAGGACAGCAGGCTTACCTGTCTGCATCAAAGTGGGAGAGGAAGTTTGGATACTCCAGGTTATAAGCCAAAACAGTGGTATAATGATTGAAGCCAAAAAAATCAAACGTGCCATTAATTCTCCTCTTTTCATCTTCAGTAAACTCAGGGAGCCTAAAGTTAAAAGGCAAAGATGGTGAGAAGAGGCCTTCTCAAGGAGCCCATGGACATGTCTCATTTCTCTTCTTGACTAGGCCTTCAATGGCACAGCCATGCTATGGGATAGCCAAATAGAAGCAACAGTGCTAGTGAACAGAAAAGAACGGTTGGGGGAAAAAAAAACCCAAAAAACCCAAAAGACTAGGGCAGTGCAATTCTTATCATCACCAAAGCAAAGCCCACTCCACTGGAGACCACAGGTTAATCTTTTAATCCTCTAATCCCCACTTCAAAGTAGGCTCCTTGTTTGCCCTACAGATTGCATCCAAATTTAGAGCATGGCCCCTTCTAATTTTATACCCCACAACTAATTGAATTTCAAAAAAATCCTGTCACAAACACCTGATACGCATTTTTAGCTCCAAGATCACATTTATACCTGTTTTAAGTCTCTTGTATCTTTTGATTTTCCCATATTTTAGCATCTGTGTATCTAATTTCCCCTTCCTTTTGTTTGGGTACTTTTTTTGGTCTAATTCTCGTCTGTTCAGAAGGGACAGTTTAAAAGGAATAGGCTTTTTGAGAACTAGATTTTTTTTTCACACACATCTCTGAGGTTTTTCTCTTTCTTTTTGTTATATCACACACACACACAACACTGTGTTTTTAGGTAATGATCATATGTAATTATTCTCAATCCTGTGTGCTTTTTCATGAGTATTTTTTTTGATCACCACCATCTCTTTTGAGTTGATTTCACCCAGGGAAAAATACTGGGGAGGTAGGTGGGTTGGGGACTCACGCTTTGCTCTGGGCCTGCCTCAGTCCTCCTTCCCGGTCCTTTTCTGTGACCCTTAGTTTGGTGAATCAAGACCTTCTACTATAAAGGCCCCCACTCTTTCTGATCCCCCTCCCCACTGTCGTAACATGAGGGAGAAACCCACTGGCATTTCTGAAAAGTTGGTAGAAGGTGTCTAAAACCCATGCTCATCACAGCCCTCTCTGTCTCAAGAACTGACATTAGCTTCCTCTTGCCCATCACACCACTCCTCTGTGTGACTTTCAGGGCCCTCCCAACCTGGCACCTGTCATCTTTCTACTCTTCTTTCTAGTACCCAGTATGCAACCTCTGCTTCTTTCAGGCGGGTTTCCTCACTGACTCTGGGCAAATCTCTAAATTCTCTAGGTCTCATTTTCTTTACCTACAAAATAAGGGGTTGGACTACATAATTTTTAATATCCCTTTCAGTTCTAATACTTTATGCCTGTGATCTCTGAAAATACCATGCCCACTCCTGCGTCTGCTCCTGCTCATGCTGGTCTCCCTTCCTAGAATGCCTGCTTTTCTCCCTCATCTCACTCATTCATCAAGTCCCTGTCTCTTCCCTGAAGCCTGTTCTGACTGTCCCAGCCCACAATGGCCTCTCACTCTTCTGAATAACGGTTGCACTTAAGAGTGTACCTAAGAGTTTAACACACTCTAGTGCTTCCTCTTCCATCCTCAACTAAATTAGACTCTAAACTCCCTGAGGGCAGAGGCAGTTTTATAATTTTCTTGTATTCCTCACTGCACCCATCAAATGGTTAAGCACAAAGGTGGAGCTCATTCAAGACCAGGGAGTGTTTGATTGATGGAAACTCTTATTTTCCCTGTCGAAAAGCCACAAATGCTGGGGCAGCTAAGTGGTGCAGCGCATAAAGCTCTGGTCTTGGAGGCAGGAGGACCTGAGTTCAAACCTGGCTTCAGACACTTGACACTTACTAGCTACGTGACCCTGGGCAAGTCACTTAACCCCTGATTGCCTAGCAAAGAAAAGCTCAAATGCAGATAGAGCTATTACAGATGGCTTTGGCCACCGTGGATTTTTTCCCAGTAGAAGGCAAATAAAGATGAGCATTTCTTGATATGGACTTAATATTGACACTGAAATCTCAAAGATAGAGAGAAGTTCTTGGGGAGGTGAGAAGATTGAAAAACAGAATCAACGAATATTTATTAGGCAAGGTGTAGTGCTATGAATTATTCTTTTAAACTTTTTTCTTCTGTTTTGTTTCCTTTTTCTGGTGGTTTCTCCTATTGGTTCTAATTCTTCCTTACAACATGACTAATGTGAAAATATGTTCAGTAGGAATGTATATGTAATAACCTATATCAGACTGCTTGCAGTCTTAGGGAGGGATAGGGGAAGGAGGGGGAAAAAAATTAAAACTCAAAAGCTTATGGAAATGATTGTTGATAAAGCAAAATAAATTAAAAAAAATAAAATTTAAATTCTTCCTTTAAATTCTTCTTTTACATTTATTTTCTTTTAAAAACATATTTTATCAATCTTCTTTTGTCTTTATAGCACAACTATTTCCAGAAGAAAAACAAGCTCCTCTTCCCCACTAGGATGAGTTGTCTCTCATAACAAAGAATAACAATTAAATCAAAGCAACAGTAACACAATCACATCTGACAGTGTCTAAAATATTCTGCCTCAGGTCAATTCTATCTTAACCCTTTATCATCATCAACTTGTGGGCTTTGCTAGTCAATCCTTCTCCCACCCCACCGTCCACTCCCAAGTTCCTTCTCTCTGTTTCCTTGCTGCAGGGTAACCCTTGACTCTAGTAGGTTCTCTAGAAAATTAATCTTAAACACCCCCCCCATGCCCTGGTGGTGCCAGATCAAGAAGTGTTCTGTCCATAGAGGAAGGATGGCACTTCATATAAACTCACTTATTCAAACTCATCACCTGAATGAAACAGGCTGAGTCTGGACACTTGTCCTCCTTGAGCAGAAGACAAGTACTCAGGGGGAGTACAGAGGCCGAACTAAGGCTGGGTGCCTGGGACTTTGTCCCTTATACTTACAGCACATATTCTTTCAACAAGGAAGAAATAATTGAGCTTAGCACTTAGCAGGAATAATTAGTGAAAACAGGAAGTTGTCAGATGGCCTGGCTTCCTCCTCGCACAGGTAAGGTAAGCCTACTCTGTTCCCTCCCTAAGTTTTGATGTCTCCAGCAATACTGTCCTACGGTCTTTGCTTCCCCACAATAGGGGGACCCCTCCTTCCATGGGGCTACGTGCTCTGATGCCCAGGTCTCTCCTTGAAGTCTTTTCTCAACTGAATTTGTCTTTAAAATTTGGGGGTGCACATCTCCAGAGGCCTTGGGATGGAAAATGCTGTCCACATCCAAAGAAAGAACTATGGAAGTTGAATCACTATCACTTATTTTTACCTTCTGTTGAGTTTTGTTTCATCTTTCTGATGGTTCCTCCTGTTGGTTTTAATTTTTACTTACAACTTCACTAATGTGAAAATATGTTTAGTGGGTATGTAAGTGTAAAGCCTATATCAGATTGTGCGCCGTCTTGGGGAGGGTGGAGGGGAGGAAGGGGGAGAAAAATTTTCAATTCAAAAGCATATGGAAGTGATTGTTGATAAATCAAAATAAATTTTAAAAAAAATTGGGGGATGCCTTTTATTCTGCTTATCATGGGCATGTTTTGTGGTGCTTTTCCTGGGAGTCAGGATTTCTAGTTATGGCTCTGGGGCAGTAGACTATTGCTTATACTCCACTCAAAAGACACAGGATTTCTGTGTGATACCTGCCCCTGACATCCATTAGGCCAACTACAAGTGAAAAGCTCTTACCTAGATGTGTTCAGTCCCGCTGCTGCGCTCCTGTCACTAACCCGAGTCTTCAAGATTTCACTGTAGTCTCCATTCTTGAAAACAGGATGTGCAAACCAGCCTACCATAAACTAATTAGAGGAGTGAAGGACAAAGTTGAAACTTAAGATGAGAGGCTGCCCAAGAGGCACAACCCACCTCCCCGCCTTCAAAACAGAGCTCCAAACTCCACATTCTGCTGAAGATGTAAGTGGCTCCAGGAACAGCAACATTGCACAATGACCAACTTTGATAGAATTAGTTCTTCTCAGCAATGTAAGCATCTAAGACAATTCCAAAAGGCTCATGATGGAAAATGGTATCCACATCCAGAGAAAGAACTATGGAGTCTGAATGTCCATCAAAGCATAGTATTTTCTCTCTCTCTTTTTTTCTTTCTCATGGTTTTCCCCTTTTGTTCTGATTCTTCTTTCATAACATGACTAATGTAGAAATATGTTTAATATGATTGTACATGTACAGCCTATATCAATTGCATGCCATCTTGGGGAGGAGGGAGAAAAAATTTGGAACTCAAAATCTTGTAAAAGTGAATGTTGAAAACTATCTTTGCATGTAATTGGAAAAAATAAAATACTATTAAATGTGAGGAGGGGCTTAAAAAAAAGATGTAAGTGGCTCTTTTGCTGTCTGTTTCTGCTATTGACTCAGAAGAAAGGGCACTCTTGGGAGAGAAAGCTTTCGGGAGTAGATCTGAAAAAGACTTAGGAAAGGAGGCTGAGAGACATCAGGAATATGATTCATCACCAAAACAGTGAGATCTGGGGGAACCCCAAAAGTAGGGGAAGAGAGACCACAAGTCCTGTCCTCCTAATACTGCAATAGGGATCAGTATTCCTCTTAGTCCACATCTCCCATCAGAGGTTGCAGCAGAAATCTTAGAGACCAAAATAGTCGATCCTTTATAGACCAACCCCAAAGGGCTGTCCATCTTCATAGAGCTTCTAGCCATTCAAGTCAGACTGAAAAGGGGGCTAAATTGGTTAATTGAGTTTTTGTTTTTATTTTTTCAATTTGTTGAGTTTTCTAGAAAAGTTTCTTAGTCACCTGGGCAAATAAGGTTGTACATAGGATAAAAGGTAGGGGATAAGTCTATACTTCTCCTTTGTTTCAAACTGATAGAATATCAAGACCCCAAAAACTTAAGGCCTCAAACCCAAGTAATGAGTATTGTATTACAGTGTATAATACAACATGGTGGCATCTACTGGCCAAGTGTGATACTGTAGCCCAGCTCTATTAAACAAGATAAAATATTTAGACTAGAGAGTCTCAGGAGCCAAGAATCAGAACTCCAATTGTAAGAGTCAGGGTTGTCCTAGGGAGAAAATTCCTATGTTCTGTTGATAGTGGCAGGAAATTTTGGAGTCAAGAAAGTTTTGAAAAAGCATCCCCAAGATTACAAACATAATATGCTACGGACCTAGTAAAAGTCTTGAACCTTCACAAAAAGCTTTCAAATCAGTCTATTGGTGACGTTTCCTATGTGACCTTATCTCCAGTTTCATCACAGAAATCAATGGGAAACAGCACTTGCTTTACAACAAATTTACTATGTGCCAAATTCTTGGAATGCATACATCCATAAAGTAAGGACCACTTGTTTAATAATAACTTTATCCTCTTATAATACTAAGGACAACAGCAACGACAACAAAAACCCCAAAGAACTTCTGTGTTAATGAATCGCCCATAGGTAGGCCAGAGGTTCATTTTATCAATTAGAAAACCAAGACACAGGCACTAAATGTCTTGTTCAAGATGACTCAGCTAATAAACAGCAGAGCCATAACTAAGAACTTGGCTCTTCTAATTCACAATCCAGTTATCTCTCCATTAGGCCTTGATAAGAAAGGATTTGAACTCTGGCCTTCCTAACGCCAAGGCCGATACTTTCTGCACTATGTCATCGATGAAAAAAGGGCTAATAAAAAGACTTGAGGCGCAGCTAGGCGGTGCAGTGGATAGAGCACTGGCCCTGGAGTCAGGAGGACCAGAGTTCAAATCCAGGCTCAGAAACTCAACACTTACTAGCTGTGTGACCTTGGGCAAGTCACTTAATCCTGACTGCCTTGCCAAAAAAAAAAAAAAGACAAGAGGAAGGACAGACAGATAAAGAGAGAATAATAATAACAACAACAAAAGGATTTAAACAGACCTCAACATGTCTTCTAGCAGCTTCCACATCTTCTTGTTTGGAAGGGTTTCTGGGCTCTGCCCAGTCACCGCTGAGGGTGAGAGAAATCAGCCCCCCTTGCTTGGCTCGGTAGACATCATTATATAGGTGCCAGGCTTCAGCGTGAGCTTTTATTAAGTTATGGCCAACAATGTAGGGAGCGGTGCCTGGTCTAAAGGAAATGCCTACAAAACACAAGGCAAATGAACTGAGGATTCAAAAAAGCAGAGAGCACATCTGGATCCACCACTTATCTGATCTGGGGACAATGAAAGCCAAACCAAAAAAAATTAGTGCCAACCAACTCAAGACATAAGTCGTATTTACGTAGTGTTTTAGAGCAGTTCTTTAATCTTTACAACAACGCTGTAATGTAGGTGCTATTATTGTCCCCATTTTAAAGATAAGGAAACTGAGCTTGAGCAAAGTTATTTAGTGCCTTGCCCCGGGACACACAGTAAGTGTGTGTCAGGATTGGAACTCAGGTCTTACTGACTCCAAGTCCATCACCCTATCCACTCTATTACCAATGAAAGGATTAACAAAAGGACCATGACAAGGGTGAAGATTACTAAATTCTGGAATGGGCAACCCAGGGAAGAAGGAACTTTCTGTCCTTTACCATGTCAACCAATGCTGTTCCTTACCGCTGCCCACCTCTCCTTCCAGTTACCTTGCAGGCCACCACCCTCCTTTGGCTGACAGTTGTGTTGGGCTTGCCTGATGCCTCACTGGCTGCCAAGGCCTAATCAAACCCACCACCATTTGCTCCAGCTTATCTTTTCAAGCCTTGTCTTCTACTGCTCCCCAAGAGAAAGTCTCCACTCCAGACAGATGACACTTCACTTTTTTCCCCATACAACTACCATCACTCTTGCCACTCACCTGAAATGTCTACCTCACCTATTTGCGACTCTCCAACTCCTATTCCCATCCTCGAAGACCCAGCTCAGATCTCCCTTTCCCCACAGAGGTCTCCCTGAACCACCCCAGCCCATGCGATCCTTCTTTCTTCTTAAGCCCCATAGTCATCATCTGCACCACTCATTGGCATGCGTCAGGGACTGCTTCGCACCATCATTTAGATTTTCATGTGTTTATGTCTGATCTCTCCAACCATATCCTTATTTTTTCATATCCTCCTCATTACCTGGCCAGGTGCTCCTCATAGAACTGATATTCAGTAGATACATGTTAATAACAATGACAGTGATAATAACTCACATATAATACTTTAAGGTTTGTAAAGCACTTTATAAACATTATCTCATTTTTTCCTCAAAACAACCCTGGGAGATTTGCAACCCTGTAAAACCCCATTTTACAGATTATGATACTGAGACAGATAAAGGTTAAGTGATTTTCTCAGGATCACACAGTAAATTTAAGTGTCTGAGGCTTGCTTTGAACTCAGGACTTTCTGACTCCAGGTCTAACACTTTAACCACTGGTGCCCCCCATCTACCTATATGTTGAAGGAATGGATGAATGGTGAACTGGAATGTCAGCCAAGAAAAAAAGTACAATGGAAGAAATACTTGACTGGCAAATAAAAACTGGTCCCCTACATGAAGCATCCCCTTCCCTATAATTATATACGGTACCTGGGAATGCAAATCAATTATCAGAAGATTGCTTTAGGTAACACAGAATTTGAGATGAGGAAATTGTTCTCCACAGTGAGTCACAAGAGAGAAATCTTGATAAATTTCCCTTTCCCACTCTAGGGAGCTGATTTAGCCTCCGTATAACTCTATGGCAGGGATCCCATGGACCATGGGAGCAGCCTTATTGTTATCACCTAAAACTCTTTTAGTGTTTATTAGCATATGACACTGAATGGAAAGCAAAACAGTGCTCATCTTATAAGAGTTTACAATTTAGAATGGACTGAGTAAGACATGCAAATTTATGAAGGGTTTAGATGTCATGGGGCATTATTAATTTTTTGTTTTGTTTTTACAATCAACCAACAATTATTTATTAAGCACCTACTATGTGCCAGGCACAGGAGATAAAAATACCATGAATTAAACAATCCATACTCACAAGGAACTTATTTTTTTTCTTAAAAAATATATTTTTTTCAATTATCAAGCATTCATTTTTTCCCCATCCACTTCCTTCCACTGGGGAAGGAAAGGGAAAGGAAGAGAAGGGAAGCAAAACATACTCATGTTGATCATTTCCAAAAATGAATTTATTTTGTAGGTTAGTCTATTTTATTATAACTATAATTAATATTAACATATTGACACCTAGCATTTGGAAAATGACAAGAGAAAGGTGACTTCTATAGACTTCATGTTTAGAGGTGGCAGCATAGCGGAAATACCTGAATTCAAAGCCTGGTGCTATCATTAGTCATGTTACCTTGGACAAGTCACTTGACCTGTCTGAACCTCAGTTTCCTCATATGCAAAACAAGAAGATTGGAGATGATTCCTCAGGTCCCTTTCAGTTTCAACACACTATGCTTCAGGAAGGGAAAAAAATCAACATCTTTTTTCAGGCACACTTTGGAGAGAAGGAGTTGAGATATCAGAATCTGGGCCATGTTTTCTTTCAGTGACACAGAAATGTCTTAGACTTCATTCAGACCTCATTTGCCCCCACCTACCCACTGAGCTGAACTCGGTGATTTTCATTATTCTAAGAACATATCCCCAACCAATAAGGTAACAAGGCAGACCTGGGGCCATTACCTGGAGCAGATACTCCATAGACATGCCCGCCATAGGCAATGGAAAAGGGCTCATTGATAGTGATCCAGAATTTCACCTTGTCTCCCAGCCTACTGAAGAGCACATCTGCATACTCCTTAAACCTCTGGATTATGGTATCATTCTCCCAGCCTCCAACATTCTGGAGTTCCTGGGGCAGATCCCAGTGGTAAATAGTCACCTATAAAAAAAATTACATCAGGAAAATTGCCACTAATCCCGACTTCTGCCTACTTCCAATCTCAGACTTTTCCACAGGACACTTAAGAAAGCCATCTCTCATCATATACTCCAGTCTCAAAGTCTTTGTCACTTAATTCAAGAAGAAACTAAATTCATCTTATACTTGTAAGATGAATAATTCAAAGTGGGTGCTCAAATCAAAATCATTTACAATGTATTATGTTTCATGATGATGTATTTTACATTCCAGGTACTTAGGATACTTCAAAATAAATAGTGAAGAAACACTTAAATAAAAAAGAAGCTGGGGTGTCCTCTCTCAGACGATATCTACTGGAAACATGTGAAATTGATCTTGGTCTAAAAAGGGAAGAGACATTTTCCCTGTGAACTCTATGCAATGCCAGGTGACTTCATTCAATAATATCTGGAAGTGTTTTCCATGGGATTAAGTTTCTTCTCCATAAGGATGACCCCTATGGTGGCCACATGTCCACAAGTGGCCTTCGATTCATTCAGTGTCTCTTGGTTCTAACACTCTAGCACAGGTGTGGCCTTCTAGGTCCTCGGGTGTGGCCTTTTGACTGAATCCTTTTATTAATGGGGATTTGTTCTGTGAAATTTGGAAAAGGCCACATGTGGCCTTGAGGCCAGAGGTTTCCCCACCCCTGCTCTAGCACACACCCTCTATTGCCATTAGCCAGCATGTTACTACATTCTAACTTGTATTAGAGTTATTTGTGTACTTGTCTTATAACCTTACTGGACTATAAGCTCCCTGAGGGAAAGGACTATGTAATTTCTCAGCTTCATATCTCCAGAACCCAGCATGGTGCACTGCATATGGCAGAAATTTAACATATAGAGCTGAATTGCACTGAATTCTCTCCTCCAGCTTCTCTCTTTTCCCCGACACATGCTGCAGCCATTCCAGTCAAGCCAATATCTTTACTATGATCCAGCTCTATCTCCAAACTCCCCATGTTCATTCACCGTCCCCCCATGCCTGGAATGGTCTCACTCCTCTTCTCTGCCTCTTGGCTTTAATCTACAAGAAACCCTTCCTAATCCCCCTTAATGTGAGTGCTTTCTTTCTGAGATCATTTCCAATTTATCCTTTTTTATCTTGTATATACATAGTCATTTGCATGTTGTCTCTCCCATTTCTTTTTCTTCCTTTTTTTTTGTTTTTGGCTAGGCAATGGGGTTAAGTGACTTGCCCAGGGTCACATAGCTAGTAAGGGTCAAGTGTCTGAGGTTGGATTCGAACTCAGGTCCTCTTGACTCCAGGGCCAGTATTCTATCCAGTGCACCACCCTCTCCCCCTTTTCTTCTTGAAACATTCATTTAAAAAAAATCTGAGACGCAAATTCTCTCCTTCCCTTCAGCTCCTCCCCCTCCCATTGAGAAGGCAAACAATATGATGCCCATGATACATATGAAGTCATGCACAACATAAGTGGGTTCCTTGAGAGCAGGAACTATCTTGTTCCTTTTTTTGGAGGAGTATTCCCAGAACTTAACACAGTGCCTGGCATATAGTAGGCACTTAATAAATGTTTAGCAGCTGAATGACAATCTTTTCCGCACCTACACTGACGGCGTAGCCTAGTAGATAGGGTTGAACTGGGAATCAGGACTAATCTTGGGGTTAAATCCTTGCTCATTTACACTATGAACATGGATAGGTAACTTAACTTCTGCAAATAAGATAAGATATATAAAACATTATGCAGACTGTAAAGCACTATCTAAACATCAGAGATATAAAAATAAAATAATATTTTATTCTTATAATTTTATTTTATTTAATAAAATAATATAAAAATAAAAATAATATTTTTATTTTCTCCTCTTTGTCTTTGCTCATGCTAATCCCTTTCACTGGAATCCACTCCTTTCTCTATTCCAGGAATCCCAACCTGCCAGTTTAAAGTCCTGTGGCTTCCAGGGAAAGATAATACAGTCTAGTGGGAAGTACCAGATTTGCACTCAGGAGACTGCATTTGCATTCTGGCTCTGGAATTATTTACTAGCTGTGTGCCCATGAGAAATTCAGTCTCATGATCATAGCACTTCTATTACTTACTCCCCAGGTGAGGAAAGAACATACTTTATATGCGCTACAAAGCATGATAGAAATGTGAGCTATGTAAGATACTCTTCCTTGACTACTCTGACCTTTTTCATCAATGACTTTGGATACAGCCATATACTTTTACTCTTGATACCACGCAGTTTTACACTGCTCTCTGTTTCACTTGATGTAAATCCTGCCACCCTGCCTGGACTGAGGGATTCACTGCTTATGTTTTCTCTGTCTACTGTGCCACCTTCCAGTGGACGCTGAAGAGACCTTTGCCAGATTGATTGTGAGCACCAGCCACTTTTTCAGGGAACATCAAATACTTTTTCTTGGGAAAAGATATTCCTAAGGGGCTGCTAGGTGGCACAGTGGATAGAACACCAGCCCTGGAGTCAGGAGGATCTGAGTTCAAATCCATATATATATATATATATAAAGATATTCCTACCTATCTGCAAATCAAGTGCTCACACCCCAATTAAGAGTATGTAATCTCATTTTGCTTTAGCTTATAAAAGGAAAAAAAATAGATTCTGAGTGATCCAACCCAAACTTCCCCAAGGAAAAGGAAGGTAGGCAGGCTCATTTAGGCTCCTAAGTCAAATACAAATCTCTGGTGATGGTAACCTTATCTCTTCTGTGATATATGTATGAGCCTCTTTCACATGAGTGTGCGCGCACGTGTGTGTGTGTGTATGTGTGTGTGTGTGTGTGTGTGTATGTAGGTATGCATATAGAAGTGTATAAATAAAATGTACATAGGTGTGTATATTACATTTATGTGTGTACATATATATACATAGAGATACTTGTTGCTTAAACATATGTGCCTTTTGATAAAACAGAGTATTTGGACTTTTACCGTCCCATTTGACTTAACCACCTTCCTCTTGGCCAAAGCCCTTCCTCCCCAGCCCTCCTTTTACCTGAGGCTTTATATTGACTGCCAGTAGAGCATCAATGAGTCTTTCATAGTAGTTTAGCCCCTTTTCATTGATTTGCCTAATGGTGCCATCAGGGAGAACACGGGACCAGGAGACAGAGAAGCGATAGTGGGACACACCCAGATTCTGAAGGGCTGCTACATCTTCTTGGATTTTGTTATAGCTGTCACAGGCAATGTCCCCACTGTCACTATTTTCAATTCTCAGTGGAGTGTGGGAAAATGTGTCCCAGATACTAAGGCCCTTGCCATCAGCTCTCCAGGCACCTTCAATCTGAAAGTGATAAAATGGCAAACTTGATTATTTAAAAAAAAAACACAAAAATCCCTACTCACCTCTAAAGCACTTCATTAACTCAAGCCCTTAAGTCTGAAATCTGGACATAACTGGGAAGAATAATTTGTATCTTCAGAGCTTTGTATACTGCCTGTCACATAGTAAATGCTTAATAAACACTAGTTGATGAAGAGGAGGAGAAGGAAGTAGAGTTTGACTTCCTTCTTAGAGCAGGGCAGACAAATTCCCAAGATGTTGTATGGCTAGGCAGAATTAAAAAAAAAAAAGCAGCATTGCATTTTAAAAAATTACCTCTTTTCCCCCAAATTAAAAGCTAAAAGTTAAAAAAAGATTGGTGGTACAATTCTCTCAAGGCTACTGAGCAGGTTCCTAATTGCCTTCTTGGACTGTTCAATCCTGTACAAAGAATATGATTAGTATAGAAAATCCCAATTCTTTATGGATTAAGACATAAACTTAAACTTAACATTTACCTTAACAGGGCAGGATTATTTCCTGTTGCAAAGCAGAAGCCAATATAGACCTCACTAGTCTGAAATTCCTTAAAGAAGCTCAGGTATAAGCAACTACTCACTTTTTATTCTTCTTTCCTTTGAGAGCAGCACATCAGTGCTGCTCAGAGAGTGAACTGGGTATAAAGCTATGAATTTGTCAGGATGTTGGGAGTTCATACCCTGGTCTATGGACCATTTGCATAGTTGTCCTTTGCCATTCGACTACAAGTTCATTGTAACAACTTTTGTCTCTCCAGCACCTAGCATGCTGCTAGATGTTTGATCGATGCTGGCTGAATTTGATTTTGCATGATTTGCCTGAGTGGAAGGAACAGGTCAAGAAACCAGGATCACTGACTTTTAACATTTATAACTTGAGTGATTTTTATTAAGTGTTTTTGTTTTCAATCTATCTGACCTGACTTTCTCCGGAAATACTGGACCAGTATTGGAAAGTCTGCCATAGGAAAGAGACTTGTTCTTCTTGGGCCTGGAGGGCAGAGCCAAAACCAAAGAAGGATGGTTGCAAAGAAACAAAGTTAGGCTCTGGATCAGGAAAGCTTCCTTTAGAGCTGTCCAAAAGTGGAATGGGCTGTCATCAAGCACAAGCTGGATGACCATTCACTGGGTCAGTTTTGGAGAGAATTTTTAAGTATAAGTTGGATTAGATGGCCTTGGACGTTCTTTCTAACTCAGCTGTGAGTCTAAAACATTTGCCTCAGCTTGGCTCAGCCTACGTCCCTTAGTGGGACCATATATTTTAGTCAAGTCCAAGAAACAAAAGAAAACAAGCACGCCAAATGTGAGACACAGACTTCCTGCCCTGCTGCCTGCTTACCTGATAGGCAGATGAGGCTGCACCCCAGACAAAGTCCTTAGGAAACTCTCCATACAGAAACTCATTCTCCTTTTCCAGCGGCATGCCGTTGTTGCTAATAACTTCTGTGTAGTACCCAGCTGAAGTTCTTGCAGTCCGGGGTCTGCTGACATCATCAAAATCTACCTGGTAGAGTCCAAACTTGACACTGTAGCCATTCAACCATTCAAAATTATCCATCAGGGACCAAGCCACATACCCTCGGAGGTTAACGCCATCCAGACTGTAGGCTGATAAAATTTCAGAGGGAGACATTCAAAGAATAGTTTCATGCTGTGAATTTAGGCTGCTAGGTAGTGCAGTGGATAGAGCATTGGGCCTACAGTCAGAAAGACCTGAGTTCAAATCCAGTCTTAGCTGCTTACTAGCTGTGTGACCCTGGGCAAGTCTGTCTGTCTCAGTTTCCTCAACTGTAAAATGGGGATAATAATAGCACCTATCTCCCAGGGTTATTGTGAGAATCAAAAGAGATAATATTTGTAAATAGAGCTTAGCACAGTACCTAGCACATAGTAGGCGTTCAATAAATGCTTGTTTCCTTCCTTTCTTCCTAGTATCTTGAAGAGAACTAGACATTCTACTGGATCTTTAGTATTATACTAAAAAAAAAAATAGTTCATTAAGCCCAACAAGCCAGCTCTGATTAATTGAGCAGATAATGTACCATTTGGGTAGATTAACCTTGTGAGAGGAGAAGGGGCAGGTAAAAGGTCTACAGTACTGGGCATACAGAGCTCAGAACACCCTCAGAAACACTGGATTTTAGTTATGAGAAAACAAAAATAACAACAGAATGAAGCTGGCAGGGGGGAGGAAGCTGTTAAGAGAAGTCAAATCACTCTACCAAACAATCCCAGGCGTGTGACCCATGGGACATTTGACATTTCTATCAACTGTCTGAGAAGCCCACATACCTTTCAAAGCTTCATTGATGTACGTTTTGTAAAAAAATACCCTATTTGTGTCTTCGATCTCAGATGTCTCGAATCCCACTCCATTTTCAGTGACATAAATGGGGATGTCACCATATTCTTCTTTGATCCAATTCAAAAGCCTTCTCAGCCCCCAGGCCACTACTCTGTTGAGCGCAGAGGTGGGCATAGAAGTATCCTCTTCTTCTGTTCTCTCCTGATCACTTTCATAAGAAGGAGGGTTGAGCTGGGAGGTTACGTATGCCACAATTCTGGAAGAGTAGGTGCTGAGGCAGAAGACATCTGCTGTGTTTCTAATGTACAACTTTTCTTCCTCTGTGAAGCTGGGGAGGCGAGAAGTGGCTAGATTTTGTAGCTCACTCCTGTTTCCTACTTTCCACTTCATAGCATCTGGGTAGTCTCCATTTTTGAAGATGGGATGGGCAAACCAGCCCAAGTTAAACTGCAGAACCCTATCAGCTGCCTCAATATCTCTTGACAAGTTAGATGACTTGGGTTCCACCCAGCGTGTGTTGAGGCTCAAGGAAATCACTCCTTTCTGACTCTGCCTATACTTCTCATCATACGTATGGTAAACTTGGGCATGAGCTTTGATGATGGTATGGGCTATTCTGTAAGGTGCATAGCCAGGATCCTTCACATTTGGGGGAAATACCCCTTCTCCATACCCAAGCCATGCCATGTATAAAGGTTCATTAAATGTCATCCAGAATTGGACCCGGTCACCAAAAGTACTGAAACAAAAGTCTGCGTAGCTATCAAACAAGTCAATCAAGGAAGGGTTTTCCCAACCACCAATATCCTGCAAGGCTTGGGGTAGGTCCCAGTGGTACAGTGTCACCATGGGAATGATATTGCTTTTCACCAAGTCATCAATAAGCTGGTTGTAGTACTCAACTCCAATTGGGTTGACAGAATCAATTGTCCCGTCTGGGAAAATTCGAGGCCAGGAGAGAGAGAAGCGGTAGGCCTTGACTTTCAAAGCTCTCAGCATATTAAGATCCTCCTCCCATTTATTGTAACTATCACAAGCTACATCTCCATTGTCATTGTTGTTCACATTATTCCCTGGTGTATGGGTGAAGTTATCCCAAATGCTGGGGCCCTTCCCATCTGCATCCCAGCCTCCTTCGATCTGATAGGCAGAAGTGGACACACCCCATACAAAATCATCAGGAAATGTTCCATGGTAGAAGAAATCTCTTTCAAACTTGGATTCGTTGGAGAATTTTTCCCAAACTATCTTAGCCTTTGAAGGAACCTCTGAGGGTCCCAGAGTAACCGAAATTTTGGGGGGAGGGCTATAAAGGAATGGCCGAGAAGATCTGTCCGTCTCTTTAGTCAGGAAGCCATTCTTTTCAATGAGTCTAGAGAAAAAATAGGCAGACTTCCTGGGAGTTCTAGGTCTGCTGCCATCTTTGAAATTCACGTAGTGTAGCCCAAATCTCTGGTTGTAACCTGATGGGCCTTCAAAGCCATCAATGAGGGAACGAACAATGTAGGACCGAACATCCACAGAATCCAACTTGATAGCTAAGAAGAGAAAACAGAGAATTGATGAACATTAAAATCCTTTTTGTCTTTTCTTTTTGTTGTTTTTTTAAAGTTTTCTTTTTCATGTGAAAGATTTGGAAGTGTTCATACTTCAAAAAAAAAGGTAGTTAACTAATATTTTCATCATTCCAGATTAAAGAAAGACACATATATTTACCTCTTGTACACAGTCAATAGAAATTTATTATGAACGGTATCTATAGCTTTAGAAAAGCACTCCACTGGTACATATAATCCACTGATTTCTATACTACAAATAACTCATTGAAATTGTTTTACTACTTTCCTTATTGACCTCAGCTATCACCAGCACAAAATTACTAAACTTTTTTTATGATAAAAGGATAAATAAACCAAATATTCTAAGGGTTATTCTCTCCCATGGAAAAACCAGATAGCTAATTCCCTGGCTTGAATCATCAAACAGGTATGAATCAAGTATTAGTCAAATAGCACCTTAACATTTAGAACTATCCGTTGTGTTTGAGGGTATCAAGTCCCGATTTAATCAGGTTACACTATAGCTCAACAACTCAGCTAACTATGTAAAAATTAGCCCATGATTGTGTGACTAAAACTTCATAGGAAGCTTTAGACTTAGAAGAAGAAGACCAAGGTTTGATTTCCAGTTCTATCATCTTTTAGTTGGGTGAGACCAGTTAAGACACAACCTCTCTGAGGTTCAGTTTCCTCCCTTGAAAAATGGGTGGAGTGATAAGAAGAGTACTTTGGAATCAGAAGGCCTGTATTAAAATTCTACCTCTGACACTTAGCTCCTGTGTGATCTTAGGCAACTCACCTTCCTAGGGCCTTGGTTTTCTCATCTATAAAATGAGGGGGTTAGATTGGAGACCTCTAACATCTCTTCTTACTCTTAAACCCATGATTTCAAAAGAAATAAATTGTACAAAATACTTTATAACTTTTGGGACAGCTAGGTGGTGAAGTAGATAGAGTGCTGGGTCTGAAATTAGGAAGAACTGAATTCAAATCTAGCCTCAGACACTTACTAGCTGTGTGACCCTGGGCAAGTCACTAAGCTATGTTAGCTTCAGTTTTGTCATCTGTAAGATGAGATAGAGAAGGAAATGGCAAACTACTCCAGTATCTTTGCCGAGAAAACCCCAAAGGAGGTCACAAAGAGTAGGACATGACTGAAAATTACTCAGCAACAAGGACAACAAAAACCTCGTAACTTTAAAGTGCTACGTAAATATAAACTTTTTTTTTTTAATTTGTGAGAAGCACAGCAGAAGGACTACTGGACTTGGAGATATGAGGCCTGGATTTATCTTTTATGTCTCCCACCCACTAGCTGCTTACTAATGGGACTGGTCAGAGCAGTAACTAAGACTTTGGCTTCCAGGACCAATAGCACAAAATATGCCCTCAAATTTACCTGTTAAAACAATTGAGGTGATAAGACACACACACACACACACACACACACACACACGTATGTATACATAGATATATGTCCATGTATATACATATACATATATACATATGTATACATGTATACATACATGCATAGATGAAATAGTTAATCATTCACTGTCTTTCATCGTTATTTAAGTACCCAAATATGTGATAGAGACAGTAAGTCAAATAGAGATGGGGGTGGGGAGGTGTGTGAGAGATGAAAGCAGGCTGGAATGACTGGAAGGGCTTCATTTGAGCATTGGGATTGGGTTGGATCTGGAAAGGAAGAGGGTTAAGAGGAGAGATTCCAGGTTGAAGAAACATCCAGAACCAGGGTGATGGATTGGAGAAGGACAAAGAGACAAACCCTGTCCTCAGAGGCTGCAGAGTGTAGCAGAGAAAATGCTGGACTTGGAGTCAAGAGGCCTAAGTTCAAATCCTGGCTCTGATTCTTTAGCCACTAGAAGCCTCCATTTTCTCATCTGTAAAAGGGGAGTGGCGATGCTGGTTCTGCCTTCATCCCTGGGTTGTTATGAAGGAAAGTGCTTTGTAAACCTTAAAGAACTAAAGAGATGAGTGAACGCTTACCTTTGAGCACCTCATTGACATAGAGATTGAAATAGTCACTTCTTGCAGAATCATCAAGGACCTTGCCTTCTTCCACTGGCAGGCCATTGGCAGCCAGGTAGATTGGAATATTCCCTTGGGTATATTCCAGGGACACAAACTGTAAGAGTCTCCTGAGACCCCAGGGCACCACCCGAAGCCAAGGGGATGAGGTCTGGGGCCAGGTGGGGTCCATGTGCTGGGAGAAGCCCCGGAGGTTGTCATAGTCCAAGACACAGGAGCCATTCTGGGCATCCCTAATCAGGCGGGTGGTATAATGTGACAGGCCGAGAAAGTCAGAGGAACCTTTCAAGAGAAGCTTCTCTTCCTCCGTAAAACTAGGAATCTGGGCGACAAAGCTGCCACAATGCCTGTTTTTCTGCTGGATTTGCTCCTTCAGGGTGTCGGGGTAGTCACCATCCACAAAGAGCGGGTGGGCAAACCAGCCCAGCATGGAGTGCAAGTAGCGCTCGGCGGCCCTCATGTCCTCCGCCTCCTCTGGAGAGTAGGGCTCAGCCCAGTCCGAGTTCAGCACAATCCCCAGCTGCCCCTGTTGCTGGCTGCGATGGTGGCGGTCATAATGATGCCAAGCCTTGGCATGAGCCTTGAGGATGGAGTGAGCCACCTTGGGGAAAGGAGAGAAGGAGGGAGACAGAATAGAACCCAGGCTTGAGGGGTGGTTATTTAGTTTATTCCCCATACCTGTGATCTCACTGGCACAGAGAACTCCAGAGGGTACAACTTCAGTCATACCAGTTCCACAACTTCTGGACCTAGTGGACTGCCTCAGGGCATCTAGGTGGCCAAACAGATAGAACACTGGGCCTAGAGTCAGATGATCTGAGTTCAAATCTTATATGAGACACCTACAATTTCCCATCACTGCACATGTTACTTAACCTCTCTGTGACTCACTTTCTTTGGCTGTAAAAATTAGGGAGTTGGGCTCTAGGGCCTCTAAGGTCCCTCTTGGAGGACTGCTTGGGGTGTTTAGGTTGCATTGCTGGGTGTGGAATTAGGTAGATTTGAACTCAGGTCTTCCTGACTCAGTTCTCTATTACTTCACACTGCATCTCTGAATCTGAGACCTCAACCCTTGAAATCTCATCCCTCTGCTGATGGACTCAGTTTTTGATAGACAACACCTCAACCCCCTTAGCCTCCTCTTCCCTCTGATTGGAGGGCAGTAGACTCCTTCCAAAGCCTTCCTTTACAGAGGGCTCAGATATTTCAGAACATTTATAGCAGCTCTTTTTGTTGCGGGAAAGAATTGGAACATGAGAGGATACCCATCCACTGCAGATGGGCTGGATAAGTTTTGGTAAATGATTGTGATGAAATACTACTTGGCTATAAGAAATGATGAAGGGAATAGTTTCAAAAAACCTAGGGAGACTTGTAGAACTGATGCAAAGTGAAGTGAGCAGAACCAGGACAATTTACACAATAACAACAAGGCTGTATCAACTCTGAAAGCCTTAGGAGCTCTGAACAGCACAATGACCAAAAACCACAATTCTAAAGGACTCATGCTGAAACATGCTACCCACCTCCAGGTACAGAGATGACAGGGTCAGAATACAAATTAAAGCATATTCTTTCCTTCCGTTCTTCCTTTTCCTTCTTTTCTTCTTCTCTTTCTTTTTTGACTTGGCTTGTGTGGGAATTTGTTTTGCATGAGCATATACATATATGAACATGTTTGTGTGCACATACATACATATCATACATACACATACACACATATGTATACTGGTTTGCTTAGTTCTCCAAAAGACAGAGACACAAAAGTGCTGGGCTGTGAGTCAAGAACACCTTGGTTCCATACCTCTTTAGAGTTTCATCTTCCAATAAGATGCAAGCATCTCAAGGACTATATATTTCCCTGTAATATCTTTGTGTGATGCTTAAAAAATCCTTTTTGTATGTAATTGTATTACTACTCTACTCCACTCATTTAAAAATTTTGGTTGAGTTATTGTGAAGTTGGCTTGTTTTTTAGCGATTTCTCTGTTCTTTGGTATTTCTATTTGTTAATTTTTTTTTTTTGGCTAGGCAATGGGTTAAGTGACTTGCCACAGTTAGGGAGTGTTATGTGTCTGAGGCCAGATTTGAACTCAGGTCCTCCTGACTCCAGGGCCAGTGCTAGCTGCCTCTATTTGTTAATTTTTGAGGAATGTGTGAGAAGCCTGACTCCACTAGATTGTCTCATTCTGCCATCTTGCCTGGAAAATTCTGAACGGAATTTAAATGAAAGCAATGAATAGCAGGAAAAACCAAAGTGTAATATTAATAGCTACTCTAGGACACATTGCTATGGAAAGAAGATTTTATAGAAGAAAAGAAAACTCTTGTTACAGTGGAAAGCATGTTGGTTCTAGAGTTGGAATATCTGAGTTCAAATCCCACTTCTGATGCTTACTCCCCATGGCTGACCACTTCATCATCATAAGCCTCAGTTTCCTCATATGTAAGGGAGTGGCACTAGAAGGTCTTTGAGATCTCTTCCAGCTATAGACCTCTATGATCATCAGAAATGGTGTCTGTACTAGCTGAGGGAAAGGGGATTAACTCAATGTCCTTTCCTAACATCCCATTAGAATGTGGCCTCCTTGAGCGCAGACTACGGTTTTGCTTTTCTTTGCATCTTCAGCCCTTAGCATGGCATCTAGCATATAGTAAAGCCTTAATAAATCCTGCTGATTGACAGACTGATCAGAACAGTATAAATCACAGAGGTAGGAAGTACCTTAAACGAGGCTACTCCTGGGTCAGAGATGCCTGGGGCATGCTGTCCGGTGCCGTAGCCTGCGTAGCTTATCACCCAAGGTTCATGAAAGGTCACCCATAGCTTCACCCGGTCCCCAAAGGTGGCAAAGCAAAAAGCGGCATAGTCCACAAAAGCATCGACCACACTCTCATTCTGCCAGCCTCCATGATCCTGCAGGGCCTGCGGGAGGTCCCAGTGGAACAAAGTCACCATTGGCTCAATGTGGGAGTCCAGCAAGCTGTCAATCAACTTGTTATAGTAGGCTATACCCCGTGGGTTGAAGGTGCTCTTGTAGCCTGTGGGGAAGATCCTAGACCACGAGATGGAAAACTTGTAGACCTGAGCCTGGAGGCCACGGAGGAGAGCAACGTCATACCCGACCTTGTGGTAACTGTCACTGGCCACATCAGGCACTGCTTTATTCTCAGCACGGCCCTGATGTCCAAACCTGTCCCAGATGCTTTCTCCTCTTCCACCTTCTGCCCACGCTCCCTCCACGTTAAAGGCTCCTGTGGCGGCACCCCAGAGAAAACCTCTAGGGAAGACATCATTCAGGAACAAGTCTCTCTCTGCCACAGACTGGTGAGCAAACATCTGCCAAACTCGCCAGTAGGCTGAGGCAGGTGTCGCAGAGACGGGGGCCGCTGGGTTCCCTTCCTGCTCTTCAGTTTGGCCAGCCAGACTGTCAGGTAGGGAACAATACCTGCCAAAGTATAAGAAAAGGAAGGGATCATTTGCTTTGTTTAATTTGCACTGGTGTGGTTTTTTTTATACCACTTTCATTTTCAAATGTATCCCTAACCACCCCCTTCCCACTACTTGAACAATTCCCTGTAACAAAGAATAAAAAAGGGGGGGGAGAAGCGCAAACCAATCAACACATATACAATACAATGCAATATAATAAACATTTATTAAGCACCTACTATGTGCCAGGCACTACATTAAGCACTGGGGATACAAAAAGAGGCAAAAGACAGTCCTGCCCTCAAGGAGCTTATAATCTAAGGAGGGGAAGGGAAGGCAGGTAACAACATGTTAAAAAAAATGTGTGTGTATATATGTGTGTATGTGTATATATATATGATATATATATATATAAAATATATATATATATATACATATGTACATATATACATATATACATATATATGTATATGTGTATATATATGATATATATATATATATATATATATATATACATATGTACATATATACATATATACATATATATGTAATGCAAGCTATATACAGGGTGAATAAGAATAATTAACAGAGGGAAGGCACTGGAATTAGGAGGGGCTGAGGAAGACTTCCTGTAGGAGGTAGGATTTTAGTTGGGGAGGTCAGTCATATCTACTACGTCCATGATCTGTTCCTCAAAAGGCCAAATTTGGCTGTCAGAACCATAAAACATTCACTTTATTTTTTTATTGCTGTTCAGAACGTGATATGATAACAGAGAGGCAGCCTGGGAGAATGGACCAAATCCTCTCCTTTGCTGTATGTAATTTAACCTCCCAGTGTACAAAGCAACAATCTAAAACTCTAATATTTAGGACAGTTACTGATGAGCATTGGGAGAGATCCATCCATCCTTCCTTCCTTCCTTTCTGTCTTTCTTTCTCTCAGAATTGGGTTGCCCAGGGTCACACAGCTAGTAAGTGTCTGAGGCCAGATCTGAATTCAGGTCCTCCTGACTCCAGGACTGGTGCTTTATCCACTTTGCCACCTAGCTGCCCCTTACAACTCTAGCCAAAAAGAAAACAACACCAACACCCAGATGGTAGCACGGCATCCAGAATGAGGGAAGGAACTGATTATCCCAGGTATTCTGTCCTAGTCAGATCCTATCTGTGCTGTGTTCTGGGCACCACATTAAAAAAAAATTTTTTTTTAAATTTTTAGGCAACTGGGGTTAAATGACTTGCCCAGGGTCACACAGCTAGTCAGTATCAAGTATTTGGTCTGAGGCCAGATTTGAACTTAGGTCCTCCTGACTTCAGGGCCGGTGCTCTATCCACTGCGCCACCTAGCTCTGGGCACCACATTTTAAGGGGGACATTGTCCAGCTAAAGGGTGACTATTTCTTCAATTAACCTAACAACTTTGCTGTAAGTTTTTGTTTTTTTTTTTTGTTCAGTCATCTTTCAGTTGTGTCCTACTCTTTATGACCCCATTTGGGGTTTTCTTGTCAAAGATACTAGAGTGATTTGCCATTGCCTTCTCCAGCTTATTTTATGATAAGGGAACTGAGGCAGAGTTAAGTGACTTGCCCAGGGTCATACAGCTAGTAAGTGTTTGAGGCCAGATTTGAACTCAGGTCCTCTTGACTCCAGGGCCCCGATGCAAGATATTTTTTGGGTGGACATATTAACTGTATTTTAAAGCCAGAGAAACTGAAACACAAAGATTAAGTGATTCACTGTGGTCATACCACAAGCTTGTAACTGGGCCAGGATGAAAGTGCAGTTCTCCTGATGCCTGATTCAGATCTCTCTCACCAAGCTGTCAATCAAATGTTTAGATATAGACATTTTAAACACCCCCACTCCCCATCCCCAGAAGCCAGTTTCTGGTTAATTAATATAAAGAGTAGAATTTCAGTTCACTTGACTACCTTTGATTTAAACCAGGGGTTCTTAACCCAGGCTCACAGACCCCTTTGGCAGTCCGGCAAAACTATGGACACCTCTTCAAAATGTTTTGCTACCTACATTCATAATGGAAGGAAATGCTGCATTTCGGTCAGAGGTTAGTGAAAAACAAAGATGTGATTTTTTTTTTTATCCTATCCAAGTTCACAGACACCCTGATATCTGTACAGGGTCCATGGACTCCAAGGTTAAAAACCTCAGGCTAAGATAAAATTTCCCTTCGATTGTAAAATTTTGTAATTATTTGATTCAGGATGAAAATGTTCCACGAACTTGGGGGTGTATAGCCTAAAGAGGAGATTTGGAGGTTGGAGGCTGAGAAGGAGACATGGTTGTATTCTATAAATAACTGAAGAAGGGGGAAAAGGTATAAGTATTCACATAGTGCCTACCACTTGCCACATACTATGCTAAGTACTTTTTACAAATATTATCTCATTTGATCCTCACTACAAGGCAGGTGTTGTTATTATCCCCATTCTACTATTGTGTAAACTTTGGCAAACGGAGGTTAAGCAACTTGACAGGTTAATACAGTTAGTAAGTGTCTGAGGCTGGATTTGAACTCGAGTCTTCTTAACTCCTGGCCCAGCTCTATTCACCGTACCCCCAGCTTCCTCAAGGATTATCTCCTAGAAGGAAGGTTAGATTTATTTTGTGTAGCTTCCAAAAACAGCCTGAGGATCAATGAGTAGATGTCACAAAAAGTCAAGCTTTAGCTCAGTCTAAGGAAGACCTTCGTAATAGTGAAGGTGGTCTAAAAGTAGAAGGGGCTACCTCAGGAGGCACCAGCTGGTCTTCCAGAGGAGGCTGGATGAGGCAAGAACGACAAAGGATTCCTGCATTCAGTGGCAGGCTGACTAGATGGGGTTTGAGGCCTTTTCTAAATCTTTTGATTTTTTTTTTTGGCAATTGGGGTTAAGTGACTTGCCCAGGGTCACACAGCTAGTAATTGTCAAGCGTTTGGTCCAAGGCCGGATTTGAACGCAGGTCCTCCTGACTTTAGGGCCGGTGCTCTACCCACTGTGCCACCTAGCTGCCCCTATAAATCTTATGATTTAGAAAAGCCTTTCTAAAACCTTATGATTCTATAATTAGAGTCAATTCTCAATTATCCATTTGAATGGAGGAGAACAGAGGAAAGGATGTTCTGGAAATACCTTCTAAGCCAAAGATCACCTGCATTTGGTTCTGGAGGGTAATCAGAGAAATACTCATTCAGCAACAGGTTTTCACTCACTGAAGCCCTTCTTTCTGTCCCCATTCCTGGCCTTTTGCAGCATGGTGTAGTAGGACACTAGACTTGGAGTCTTGGGGTCACAGATCTATTGCTGGAAGGGCCCTTCAGAGACAACAAGATTCCAACCCCCTCATTTTACAGAGCATGGAGAGTCGAAGGGACCTGCCCACGATGACATTGCTGAAGTAGGATGGGTACCCACATCCTCCAGACTCCAAGTCTAGTGAGCCATGCTCCAAGGAGTCAGAAGACTAGAGTCTCAGCTCTGCCATTAGTTACTGGGATGATTTGGAGTCAAGTCATTTCTCAGAAACTCAGTTTACCTGTCTGTAGGATGGTGGCAATCATATTGCCATGATCTCCTCCTGGGATTGTGATGAAAGTATCAGCAGTTTGGGAAAGCTGTGAACACTTCTCATTGAACCTCCCTGGTGTGCAGGCAGAGATCAGAGATCATCTGTCCAGCAGATAAATCCCTCTATTGTGAATTGTGAATTGCCTCTCTCCTTTGGATCACGTGGCATTGAGCCTTTCTTTTCTCTAAAAGTCAAAGCTCAAGGTATTTCAGAAGTTACTGATGCAGCCTACAACACTCCTGAGGGCTCCAGAACCAGATTAAAATGCAGTTGGAAAATAGGTAATAAAATAGATAAAAATACACTAGAACACATTACATAGATACGTGATTTTCCATGTTAATATGGAGCTGGATTTAGTGGCCCCCATTCCTTTTTGGGTCTGACACCACTGCTTTATGCAACTGTCAGGTGTGAAGAAAGTGATGTGACAGAGAGAGCGTTCTTATCCAGGATGCCTTACACCAACAAAATCCCTGGTCTAGTCCTTATTTCTCTAATGTCTTTACTTTAAAGACAGAAAAATTCACTGGCCCTGAAGTCAGGAGCACACATTTGACACTTACTAGCTGTGTGACCCTGGGCAAGTCACTTAACCCCAATTGCCTAAAAAACAAAACAAAACAAAAAAAAGGCATAGGACTGAAGTGCACATGATCAATGTAAGCCGTTTGTGCCACCTTTTGGCCACCTGGCTGCCAGAAATCATAGGATCACAGATTTAGAGATAGGAGAGACCGGAGCATCCAACTTCCGAATTTTACAGATGAGGAAACAGAGGCACAGAAAGGTCAAGTGACTTGCCCAGGATCACACAGCTAGTAAATGTCTCAATTCAGGTATTTCTGAGTCTGCACCTAGCTGTAAGTCCCAGCTACCTAGTCAATACCTAGCTCTCTAGAAGAGAAAGGAGACGAAGCCAGGGAGAGAAAGACAGAAGCCATAAGTATTTAGTCTCATACATCAGGTACCAGGTAGCCTGCCAAAAAACCTATAAGGAAGGACAATGGAACTCATGGAAAAAAGGTCATCATTCAGGCTAATCTGGCTTAGGAGAAGAAAGGGACCCTTCCCTGCATGGTCTTGAGTGGGCATAGGTGGCAGGAGAGATTTGAATAGAACCGACAGGGGCAGCTAGGTGGTGCAATGGATAGAGCAACAGCCTTGGATTCAGGAGGACCTGAGCTCAAATCTGACCTCAGATACATAACACTTACTAGCTGTGTGACCCTGGGCAAGTCACTTAACCCCACTGCCTCCCCCCCCCCCAAAAATGAATAGAGCATGATCCTGTGGTACAGAACCCATGTGGGACTGTGCAAAGAGTCTTGGGTTAGGGGTGAGGCGAGCTGGGTTCCAACCTAATACCACTGACTATCTGTAAAGCCTTAGGTAAGTCATTTCACTTTTCTTGGTCTCAGTTTCCTTATCTGAAAAATGAGATTGGTAATGCTTGGTCCTATCTACCTCAGAAGGTTGTTGCACCTATCGAATGAGATGATGTTTCTGAAAGTAGCTTTGTGACTAATTAATAACAATAACTAGCATTGATATGATTCTTTAAGGTTTGCAAAGCACTTTACAAATATTATTTCATTTTATCCTCACAGTAACCCTGGGAGATAGTGCTATTATTATCTCCATTTTACAGGTAAGGAAACTGAGAGAGACAGAAGATAAGTGATTTGCTGGGTCACATGGCTAGTGTCTGAGACTGGATTTGAACTCAGGTCTTCCTAACTCCAAGTCTGGTGTTGTAGTCATTGTACCTCCTAGCTGCCTTAATAGAATTGTAAAGTTCTATTCAGATGTAAAGGATTATTGAAGCAGACAAAAAAATTCTGGAAGGGAGTGAAAGGAGCATATTTGAAGGCCTGGGAAGCCAGTCTCTGTCTTCCAGCTTGCTCTAGGAGGTGCCATTTGCAAAGTCTTATAATAATATCCCCATCTCCAAGTGACATTTCATAGGCCATTGAAAATGCTTTCATACTGTTTTCTGAACAGCCTTTCCCCTATTTTACAATTGAGGGGAAAAAACTGAGAGATTAAAATGAGATTTCATCTCATTTTTATCTCATTTATCAGAGAGATAAAACTACTTGTCCAAGATCACACAGATATTTAGTGGAAGATACACTCCCATACTGAGATCATCTAGCCTTGAACAGAAGAAAATTGGTCTCACCTTTTCTTGGCATTGGAAAAACACTGTAGGAATTCATTGACATCAAACCCAACGGTCAGTACTTGGTCTTTATTTATGGCTGTAAGATAAGAAGTTTGTTCAATCACACATGCCGACTGCCCATCAGGAATTTTCTTAGTGCCTAAAAAGAGCTGTATAAAATCAAAATTCTAAGCAACAGACTAAATGCCCTTTCAGTACCTACCTCTGGAAATTTTCATTTTCCTCATAAGGATTGGGACTGAACCTGTGATTTCACTGGCATGGAGACTTCCTACAAGGGGAAACTTCCTCTGCCCATGCAGGTTGGCACCTTCTCTGGAATAGTGACTTTTCTAGAGGCATACACTAAGAATGTGGTAAAGACAGGACATGAACTCAGATTTCCTAGTTCCAAGGTCAGCTCTCACTCCGCTGCAACACACTGCCTCTCATTCCTTCATAGGCTGAGAAATTAATGAGGATGGAAAAAAACTGTAATATATATTTTTGCTAGGGTGATTTATTCAATTAAAACTGATCTTTGTGTGAATGATTTACTCAATTAAAACTGCTCTAAGTAGAATGTGCTGACAAATGAGTAAGTATCCAGACATGGACCTCATCTCATTTGTAACCTATTTGGCCCGGAAGGGCAAACAGGTGGCAAATTGGATCAGCCCTTTTGCAGATGGAAAAAACGAATCTCACAGAGACTCAGTGTAAGTCCAGCACACCCCTACTTTTTGTTGTTCATTTGTTTCAGTTGTGTCCCACTCTTTGTGACTCCATCTGGGGTTTTCTTGGCAAAGACACTGGAATGGTTTGCCATTTTCTCCTCCAGCTCATTTTACAGATGAGGAAACTGAGGCAAACAAAATTAAGTGATTTGCCCAGGGTCACCCAGCTATTAAGTATCTGACGCCAGATTTGAATTCCGGAAGAGTCTTCATGACTCCAGGTCTGGCACTCTATCCACCGCACCCCCAGCTGCCCCATCCCCCTACTCAGGAGTCCTTTTTTCAGCGAGACATTTGGCCACATCATCGCCAGGAAGAACTAGAATACGTATCTAAACAATCTGACTCTTCCTTTGGGTACATGCCTGGTACACACATTTAATAACTGAGCATCTGCCTTGGACATGTATGCCTTTCAAAGTTCCTCCAGTGCTGCTGAATGGACCTTATTCATATTATCCCAATAAGAGTCAGGGTAATGAAGGGCAAAACAAGACTGGTCTTGGAGTTGGGTGGGCAAAGTACTAGTCCTAGTTCTGATACTTACTCTGATACTTGTGAACCTTGGTATGCCCCTTAAATCCCTCTCTGCCTCAGTTTCTTCATTTGTAATTTGGATAATGATACCTTGCTGCCTATCCCCCAGGAATGGTATGAGGTTACCACTTTGTAAAACTTAAGGTGCTATATAAAAGTGAGCTATCTTCATCATAGCAACTCTGTAAAGAAGACAGGGTAGTTGTTATTCTGATTGGACAAATGAGGAAACTGAGGTTCAGTGACCTTGCCCAATGCCCTACAACTGGAGCCTAGGTCTCCTGATTCTCAGCCTGTGCTCTTTTCTCTGGACCACATAGATTCTCTAAATAAGTGCTACTCCAGATGCCACACAGAGAATTATCTCCATCACACCAACACCAACTACATGTGGTAGCTGAGGTCAGAGGCAAGTGAGTAAGGAAGAAAGGAGCAGGCAGTACAATCTGGTACCAAATTCCTAGCAGAGCTGCCATCCTCATTTTCTTTCAAGTCCGACCCTATTTACCATCTTTCCATGTTTGAACCTCACTCCTTCACAGATCATAGGATTTAGAGCAGGAAAGGAGCTTAGCGATGAGCGGTCTGCTCACTAAAGCCAATTTCAGCCTCTCTGGGCATTTCCTACCAACCTTCGATCATGTTAAACAGGAGTTGAGCTGATTTCTCCTTCAAGGGAACACAGTTGTGAAGTTTTAGGCTAAAGACGAAAACTTTCACTTTGGGATTGATGGTCTGCAAAGAAACAAAAACCAGTCAGAAACTGAGGCTGCTCAGTCTAAAGCTTCCAAAAGCAGTAGGCATATTGGGGAGTGTACAAGTGTGGTTTATACTCATTCATTGCTGGTGGACTCATTCAAAGCTTGAAAGCTTTGCAAGGGTGAGAGGAGAAAGTAAACTGGCAAAGTGCAGCAAAAGTTTCAGAAATAATCATATCTTATCTCACTAATTACATCACTGGTAAGAATGTACTGGCAAGGATGTTCTCAAAAACAAAAAGAAAAGAGCTATCTGTTCAAAGATTTCTATTGCATTATGTGTAATTTTAAAAACCAGAAGGAATTTAAAATGTACAATAGTGAAATGTTGTGACACCTTCATCTAATGTAATAATAATATAATGCACTAACATTGACAAGCATGAAAAATGGAAAATAATATGGAAAGGCCTTGAAATAATAATGCAAAGTGAAAAAAAAAAAACCAAGCCAAACAGAGTGCACACTAATGGGGGCCATATCAAAAGAAAAGTGAATAGGAATGAATGGAAAAAGAATCCTAGTGGAGACTTAGAAGCAGTAAGTATACAATTGTGACATTTTGTGAGTTGAATGTCATTGAATCCTGACTCAGACATTGTGTGACAAACCAATTGCTTAACCTTTCTTTGCCTCTGTTTCTTCATCCATAAAATGGACAAAAATAGTATTTACCTCCTGGGTTTGCGAGAATAAAATGACATAATATTTGTTAAGTGCTCTGCAATACCTTAAAGTGCTACATAAATGCTAGCTATTATTAGTATTACCTATTATTAATTACAATGTAAATAGTTGCAAAGCAAGTTTAACTAGTTGGACTGATATTTGACATGGCATTTCTAATAAATCATTTTTTAAAAAAATCAACTTGACTGAGTCTGGAAATGGCATCTCAATGTCATTTGGACTGTAAGCTCCTTGGGCAAATACTTAACATCCCTAGCCCAGTGCATCGCATACGGCAGGCATTTAAAACATGTTGTCAAAGTGAATTAAATGCCTCTCGTTAGTAAGTGGAACTAATGCTGGTCTTTATGGGAGAAGAATTGGAGTTTAATACCACACTCTAGTCTAACCCAGTGGTCTCCAAACTTTTCTATTGCACACTTCCATCAATAAAAAACTGAGCACCCCCTCCACATATGGGGTGTACATTATTGCCACACCAAATTCTAAGCACCATAAAACTTTTAAAAATAGATATTTTAAAAGGACAAGTTAAAAATGAAATAATGTTGTATCTTAGAGTCAATAGAGAATCTTGGGAGTTAACTGAATAGGGGAGTGGCCAGGTCAGCTGTACGGAAGATAGAAAGGAGTAGGCAAGAGACTTGAGGCAGGGATAGCAATTGGGAGACTATATATAGTACAAGTTCGAGGTGATGAGGGCCTGAGAGAGGGTAACAGCTGTGTGAATACAGAGGGGACAAAAGAAATGTTGTGGAAGTCAAATTGACAGGATTTGGCAAATGATTAGATACATGGGAAGAGGGAAAGTAAAATAACTGGTTTGCTAATCTGGAGTGACTAAAAGAATAGACGTGGCAGAAACAGAAAACTTCAGAAGGGGAGATGGATTTTGGAGAAAAGAATGTAAGAAGACCTCTGAGGGAGACTGTGACCTATCCATCCACGCTTATCCTGAGTAGCTCACTCTGTCCCACCAAAAAGGAGATTGGAGAGAGTGTCATATCAGCCACTGCTTAGGAGGAAAAGGGGACCAGCAGGGTGGGCCTACATTGGGGGTGGGGAGGAACAGCTGCTGGCGCAGGTGCCTGGGCTGTGGTTAGGTTTTATCTGCCCTAGGGACCTCTACTAAGAGCAGAAGGGAAGATGTTTAGAGGGGAGGGGAAGAAGGGTTCTTCAGCAAGAGTGACTAAAGGGGGTGGGGTGGTGGTCTGATCGACTGTCACGGGAAAGGTGAGATGGAACCCATCCTTCTAACTTCTGGCCGTTTACTGCCTTGGGGTCCTTACTTTGGGAACCGCTGGGCTATCGAACGGGTAAAACCAAGTTTGTGGATGTAGGTCACACACAAACCAGTTTCAAATTCAGTTCGCACACAAACTTTCACAGATTCCAGTGCTGGTCCATTATGGCTCAGATCTGGTCAGTCATATCTCATACATGAAGTCTATTGATTACAGGGAGACAAGATGAGAGGGTGAAAATGATTCACTATAGCTCACCCCCACCACTGGAATAATGTCTCAAAGTATGCCTTCCTACTGACGGTGAGTCAGAAGCATCATCTTGTCATACAAAGGAGAGGATGTTTTATGTCACGGATACATCCATTATCTGCCTGTGCTTGCAGTGATGCTGACACTTGTTGATGATAGAGAGGTAAGGACAAATACATGTGACCCAGGGCTGGTTTGTCATTTATCAGTTTATTATTTTTATTTATTTATTATTTATTATAGGTAGGCTGAGACTCTGACCTTGTGTGTCAGGAGGCATCTGATAAACCAGGACTTTGATTTGATAACTTTTTTGACAAGACAACACCTTGATGATTAGAGGTGGTGAAATATGGGACAAAAGGCATAAGTACTTGCCATTGCTTGACTAATGCCCCACAGGGACACAGGTAGTCAACAAGGGAAAGGGTGGGGCTTAAACCAAGAAGGAGAAGCTAAGGATTAAGGATGATGAGAGTACAGGAGATGAGGATCAGGCAAGAGGCAAGAAAAAGGCCCAGGAACAGGCAGCTACTATCTATGGTCCCAAAAGGTCAAAGAATCAGGGATGCAGGTCAGGAGAAAGTCCAAAGTATAGACAGTATACATGGACAGGAATGGGCGAGGGTCCAGGAATCTAGGAAGACAAATAAGCTAGTCACAACACCAAAGTTCAGAATATAGGATATTCTTAATATATTTACTATCATGAAAGGGAATGGGGCTAGAGTAGGGTCAATAAAGAATGGGAGAACTAACACAAACATTGAGCCCACTCTCCTCCTTTTACAGATGGGGAAACTGAGCCCCAGAGAGCTAAGTGGTATGCCCAAGGTTACATAAGCTATTAAATGCCTGAGTCAGGATTCAAACCCAGGTATTTCCAACTCTAAATCAAGCAAAATTCAATATATGCTATTGCTATTGTTTGTTGTTCATTCATTTTCAGTTATGTCTGACTCTTTGTGATCCCATTTGAGGTTTTCTTGGCAAAGATACTAGAGTGGTCTACCATTTCCTTCTCCAGATCATTTTACAGATGAGGAAACTGAGGCAAAGAGAGTTAAGTGACTTGCCTAGGGTCACACAATTAGTAAGTGTCTGAGGAGGGATTTGAACTCAGGAAGCTGAGTCTTCGTGACTTCAGGCCCAGCACCACCTAGCTGCTCTAGTGCCATAGCGTCTCCAAACATAAATATTATAATTGTTACTCTAATGTCTCTACTGCCTAAATGAGAGCATTACTAATGATTCAGTCACTATCACTTCAAGAAGATCTCTTATTTAGAAATGAGAAACCACCTTTGTCAGTGAAAATTCAGCCTATGCAGCTAAGTGGTACAGTGGAAAGAATCCTGAGCCTGGGTTCAGGAAGACCCGAGTTCAAATTCAGCCTCAGACACTTACTAGCTATGTGACCCTAGGCAAATCACTTAATCTCTCTTTTCCTCAGTTTCTTCAACTGTTAAATGAGGATAATAATAGCATCTGTCTGGTATACAGTAGTTGCTATATAAATGCTAGTTATTATTATTACTATCAATACTATACATTAATTTGAACCTTAAATATCTAACATACTCCCAGAAACCCACTCCATTCACCATCAGTATGGGAAAGGACTCAAATTACCTGCAGTTTACTCAGCTCTTGTGGTGGACTCGCCTCGCTTTGGCAATCACATAGCAGATCAAGAGAGAGGAAATCAATGGAGTCCTTGAAACAAACAAATAGAAACATTAACGATGCAAGCACTTGAAAGACAAAAGTTTGCTTGGAATTGTTCTGCTTTTCTGGCTTCTGTGTAGAGCCCTAAATGCTGGCAGAGGGGAAGGGGAAAAGGGAGGAAAGCGGGGGCAGGAGGCACAAATGAGAGGCGGGAGGATTTTGACCACTTCCAATGGACAATAATGGATCCCAGACCATTGATCTAGGCTTCATCAGCTAGGGAATGGCCAAACAATATAGAAACATAATAGGATATTATTGTGTCATAAGAAATGATGAAAGGCACAGTTACCCTTTAAAATTTAATTAAAAAAAACCTTTTCATAAAAAAAAATTAGCTAGCTGTATCCCAGACCTCAAAGAGTCATGAGTTCTAGGGCCAATGGTTTCAGGAGCCAGCGCTGGTGATACTCGCCCCTTCCAGTGGTCATCTTTTTTAAAGTGTCCCATTAACATTTTAGAATATAAATTAAGACCACATCCTTTAGGAAGCCTTTCCTAATTAATCCCACCCCCCTCTACTCCACCTCCCCTACAGTCCATGAGTACAGCACTTGGTCTCTTGCCTTTCCATGAACTTATCAAATACTATCTTTATAGATTTATTTTGATCAGATACTTTTCTGGATTGCTTTCATTATTAGATTTATCTAGTCCTTGAGGACAAAGACTAACTTTGCTTAACTAATGAGTAACCTTCATTATATACCCCAAGTATCAATTAAGTTCATGTCCTATGAACCCTAATAATATGTTGACTGACTCCATATTACTTTCTAAATTAAATTTTATCATCAATATTTATGGAACATCTGCCATTTGCTATCTTGTAGCTATCTATTATGATGGCCGAGTCCAGATCTAGCCTTGTCCCCTTTATGTGTTTCTCTTACTCCTCCATTTGTATTTTTTTTTAACTCTGTACCATAGACTTGGGGTCAAAATCTCTTTGTTATATTTCCTAACAAAATACAGTTAGGTGGATCTGGAAATAATTGACTGACCAGACCCAAAACATATTGACTAATTGATTAATGTCAATGTGGAGGTAGGTCACTGAGTCAGTTATAGGACTTTGTTATTGGCCTAATTCTGTTTAATATCCAATGATGTGGATAAGGGTATATATTGCAGGCTTACCAAATTTACAGATGGTACAAAAGAGGGAGAGAGAGCTAATACATCGAATGACAGTGTAGGAAGGGAAGGGAAGGGAATAAGTATTTGTTATGTGCCTACAAGACACCAGGCATTGTGCTGAGGGTTTTATAAATATTATTTCATTAGTGTAGGAATTCAAAAGGAATTGGATTGGTGAGGCAGAAACAAATAAGATTTAAGAGGGATAAATGTAAAACATTGCAGTTAGATTTAAGAAATCAATTACATAAGGAGAAGATGAAAGAAACATGGATAAAAGTAACTCATACTAAAAAACAAACAAACAAAAACTCACCTTGGGGTTTTAAGGGATTGCAAGCCCAATATAGCAATGTTATGTGGAAACTAAAAACCAATGTGTTCTCAGGCTACATCAATAGAAGAATGTCCAGAGCAAGGGAAGCAACAGTCCTGTTTATTCTATCCCCATCAGACCACACCGGGAGTACTTTGTCTAGTTATGATCACCACATTTTAGAATAAACAAGTCACTTTGTATAGTGCTGAAAGGTTCATGAGACACTTTCCTCCTAGCCACCTTGCCCCATCTGTAAAATGGGAATAAATGGCATGCGTACAACCTACCTCACACTGATTCTTTAAATAGTACTTATAGCTATGAGCCCTAAGCCATCCACAAACCACCTAGAGGACCTGACAGCTTCATTTTGGGGTTCTGGCTTTTTTTGTTTTTCTAAACCACAAGATTTGAGGAAGTAAGAACTAAGTTGTTTAAAGGACACACATTTAAATAACCATTAGCGGAAAAGCAGCACTACTCTAAAGTTCATCTTCTCATCTTCTCAAGTTCAGTTCAAAAAGCATTTATTAAGTACCTTCTATGTGCCAGGCACTGTGTTAGGTGCTGGAGGCACGAACAGAAAGACAAAGAACTTATATTCTATTGAGAAGAATCACATGCATAGAAAATTAAAGTACAGAGTGGGGTAGGGGGAGGCAGGGAGGGAATCAGACCCCACTTAAACTGGGCTTTGAAGAAAGCAATTCAATCAGCACTCCTTTAGTTGAATGCTTGGCTAAGGCAGACACAGGCTCTTCAAGTAGGTTAGTTAAAATTTCAGATAAAATCAGGGCAACTAAGGTGGCACAGGGGATAGACCAGTGGGCCTAGAATCAGGAAGATTACTGAATTAAAATCTGGCCTCAGACACTTACTAGCTGTGTGACCCTGGGCAAGTCACTTAATCTTGTTTACCTCAGTTTCCTCATTTATAAAATGAAACTGAAGAAGGAAACAGTAAACCATTCTAGTATCTTTGCCAATAAAAACCCAAATGGGTCAGACGAAGAGTCTGCCATGACTTAACAACAACGACGAACAAAAATCCATAATTATTCTGGAGTAAAGAAATGTTTTTGAGATGTCCAAGGAGAGGTATGCCTCAGACCATTGTCAACTAGTAAGGACTTCATAAAATCATAATTATCAATCTTCTTGGACAACATCAATATGATTTTTAATTAAAAAAAACCCAAGCATTTATTAAGTACCTACTGTGTACCAGACACGGTACCAAGTGTTTACAACTTTTCATTTTATCCTCATGACAACTCTGAGAAGCAAGTGCTATCATTACCCTCATTCTACAAATGAGGAAATGGAAGCAGACTGAGGTGAAGTGACTTGCCCAGGGTCTCTGGGCCCAGATTACAACTCAAGGTCTACCTGATTCTAGGCCCAAGATTCAATCTCCACTATGTCACCTAGCAGCCCCTATCACCTTCTGACATGGGAAATGAAGCTCACTGGTCTTACCTGGCTGAGATGATGCCATGAGGAGTCCAATGAGTACTCAGAGATGTCGTCAACTCCTAGCACTACAGACAGTTTCCCACCTGAAAACCAAACCAAAAGAAGGGAAGATAAACACAGGACAGGCATTTAATCCAACCCTCTCCTTCCTCCCACTGTCTCAATTGTGGACCTCGCTTCTTACTTTACTGAAAAAAATTGAGACCATTCAACATGACTTCCCTCTTTTCTTTGTTCTTCACTTCAAAACCTTTTGAAATTATCTGCCACACTCTCCTCCTTTCCTTCGGTGTGTGACAATGAAGTTCCTCTTCCCCTTGCCACAGCCAATTCCTTTATACATGCCCTTGATTCCATTCCTTCTCATCTTCTCCAGTAGACTGATACCTCAATCATCCCCTTTTGAATTCTTAATTTCTCTCCCTTCATTGGTTCCTTTTCTACAGACTTTAAGGATTGTTTATCCTTAAAAACAAACAAAACAACAACCAGAAAAACCCCCCTCCCCTCTTTCAACTTTACCATTTTTATTAAGGTTATCTTCAGGGTATTATCCTTCTAATCTCTCAGATTTGCAGTTTTGCTCCCTTGTCCATATCTTACCAGTTGCCAAATCTTGCCACTCCACCTCAACAGCATCTTTGGAATCCAACAACTCTACTTACACAATCACCACTTTAGTTCAGGCTCTTATCCCCACTTGCCTAGTAGTTGCAGTGACCTCCCAGACTCAACACTGTCCCTGCCCCACTCTACAATGCTACCAATGATTTTCCTTAAGCATAGAAGTGATCATATTACTTTCCTAATCAATAAACTCCAGTAGCTCCCTATCGTCTCTAGGACAAAACACAAATTTCTGTTTAGCTTTTAAAACTGTATACTATCTGGCCCCAATATATTTTTTTTTAGAAAAAATACTTTTTAATATTACGAATAAACTGTGATCATTTAAAGGGGTAAAACCATCCACACCAATCTATTTTTTTGTTTGTTTTTAGGTAATTGGGGTTAAGTGACTTGCCCAGGGTCACACAGCTAGCAAGTATTATGTGTCTGAGGCTGGATTTGAACTCAGGTCCTCCTGACTCCAGGGCCGGTGTTCTATCCACTGCACCACCTAGCTGCCCCTTGGCCCCAACATATTGCTAGCCTCATTGCATTGTGTATTGCTTCCTTTCCTCCACTCTGTGATCTACCCAAACTGGCCTTCCCTCACACAGGGCAACCTCCATCTTTTATCACCACCTTTGCAGTAGTCACCTTCCTGAAATGTACACCCTCCTCATGTTTACCTCATAGAATCTCTCCCTTTAAGACTGAGTGCTTCCTTAATGGCCCCCCCTTTCTGTGTACCCTCATACATGTTGTCCTTTGTTCTCAAAGAGGACCAAAATGATGCTGTGTCGGGGTCAAGGTACAGTGTGTCTGCCTGTGTCTGATCAGACCAATGTGAGCTTGGAAGGCATAAATAGTCTATATAATACTTTGCTGGTAATTTGAAAGATAATTTTTTAAAAAATTCTGAGGTCTTTCAAACACTTTTCCTGTATAGTTTACACTATTTAAAAGAAACCCACATGGATGAATCCAGGTAGTATGTAATGGATAGTCAAAATGTTCATCAGTGTACTTGTAATATAATTAATTATTTAAAATATACTTAAGTATAAAATAAAATTCACCATTATCATGTTTAAAATACTAAATTTTTTAAAAATATAAAGCCTTTCTTAATCCTCCCAACAGCTAATGCCCTCCCTCTCAAACTACGTTGTACTTAAGTACTTAGTGTTTATTTGTAAGTATTCTCTTTATATCCTGCATACATTTATACATGTGCTTATCTCCTTCATTGATTAGAAAGTATACTCGGTGTAGCTAGGTGACAATGGATAGAGCACCAGCCCTGGAGTTAGGAAGACCTGAGTTCAAATCTGGCCTCAAACACGTAACTTTTACTAGCTGTGTGACTCTGGGCAAGTCACTTAACCCCACTGCCTAGTAAAAAAAAAAATAAATAATAATAAAAAGTAAACTCTTTGAGAGTAAGGATTCTTATTCTTTGCGTTTGTTTCTCTAGAACTAGCACAGTGTATGTGCTTAATAAATGACTGTGGATGGATTGATTCATGCTTTTAAAAAATTCCTCACAGTGCATATCACAGTACTGAATAGATAGTGAGCTTTCTATAAACAGCGGTTGAATGAACAGGAAGTATTTAATCACTGAAACAGAAACAGAAAGATTGAAAGAAAATGACTTTTAAAAATCTTTAAAAGGTTTCATTGAAGTAAGAGTGTGGGGGGCAAATGAAAGATAAAAATGAGGTAAGAGCCATAAAACAAATTGCTAGTGAAATACCAGATAAGGTCCAAGGAAGGAGGATGGATACTTTGCTGTGGTCAAGTCAGAAGGCCCAGGTTTGAGTGCTGACTGCCATTAACACCTGCATAACTTGTCACTTCACATCTCTTGATTTTAATGTCCTCATGAATAAAATGAATACATCTGACTAGATAATCTCTAAGGTCCTTTGAAATACAATTTCTACTGTCCTAAGCCACACAGTAATATCTGGGCTACCAGGGCACAATCACTAAAGAATTTGTGGATAAGTCAGTCAAGTGTATGGGAAATTATGTGGGGCTTTGTTAAACGGATTTGGGTGAAGGAGGGAGAAGATTAAGAAAAGATTATTAGAGTCCAGACAAGCGGGCCAGGAAGCAGGAAGGGAGGGAGTGGGGGGCCAACATTGCTCCAGTAACAGCTCCTTGCTCGGAGTCCACTTGCCTGCTCTGCCCTTGTCTTCCTTCCTGTGGTACGTGGTGTCCTTGGGGATCGGCTTCAGGAAGCCACCATGGACATCTTTGGGGACTTAAGGAAGTGTATTAGCAGATTTTAAACTTTGCCATGATTGTATCTTCCACTCTTATGATATGGAAAGGCTTGATAGTTGTCACTGGGAGCAAAAGCCCTATTGTGGTGGTTCTGAGAGGCAGTATGGAATCAGCATTTCATAGAAGAGACCTGTTTTTAACAAATTTCTGGGAAGATCCTATTAGAGCTGGTGAAAAAGTTCACAGAGTCATCAAAGTTCAGGAAAAAGACAATGGAAATGTCAAATTTCTGATTAAAGGAGATAATGAAGTTGATGATAGAGGTTTGTACAAAGAAGGTCAAAACTGGCTAGAAAAGGAGGATGCTGTAGGAAGAACAAGAGGGTTTTTGCCATATGTTGGGATGGCTACCATAATCATGAATGATTATCCAAAATTCAAGTATACTCTTTGGGCTGCAATGGGCGCATATATGTTACTGAAACGTGAATCTTCAAATGAGAAGCAATTCCTGGGTCTGGACTGAAATAGATTCAACTGAAAGAACAAAAACTAATGTATTTGAAATGTTTTACTTTCTATATAAAGGAAAACAGTGTGCAGATTTTTTTGTCTCATCCAAATAAATGGCTCATCAGTAAATAATTTAAAAAAAAAGAACAGATAATTATAGGGACCTAAAACTGAGCAGATGTTCTGTGGGCATAGGTGCTGGAAGAGGTGGGACACGAACCCAGGTCCTCTGACTACAAATCCAATGCTCTTTCCTCTGTACCTTACTGCCTCTAAATTAACTTAAACCAATAAGAAACATCTTTCAAACCTATTCATGATTTAAGAAATTTAAGCCTTCTTTGTTTGCATGATGACCTCCAATGGCTCTTCCAACCCTGCTCATTTCATCTCTGTATATTATATATACATATGTTTGTACCACATATTATTGTAATCAATGTTCACATAATCATCAATATGCATATAATTAGAAGATCAAAGATTTAGAAATGTAAAGGACCCTTCAAAGTCTTCTAAGCCAACCCTTCTGATTTTACCATTTGGAAAACCAAGGTCCAGAAAGGTTGTGACTTGCCCCAGGTCATCAGTTCAGTCGTTTCAGTTGTGTCTGACTCTTTGTGATCCCATTTAGGGTTTTCTTGGCAAAGATAATAAAGTGATTTGCCATTTCCTTCTCCAGCTCACTTTACAGTTGAGGAAACTGAGGAAAACAGGGTTAAGTGACTTGTCCAGGATCACACAGCTACTAAGCGTCTGAGGCCAGATTAGTCTTCCTCATACCTGATTTGAACCCAGACCCTCTGGTTTCCAGCATGACCTGCTTTCCACTATACCATGCTGCCTCTTAATCCTTCCTCCCTCTCTCCCCTTTGCATTCAACCTCACTCATTTTACAACAAAAGAAGCTAAGAGCTAGAAATGAAGTGATTTGCCTAATGTCAAACAAAATCACCTGGGTGGGTTTACTGAATGCCAGATCAGCTTTCTCATTGTAGCACAAGAATCTAAACACATTTTCATTCACCTTGAGAAGCGAAATTTTCATGGTAGACATTGTAGGCTTTTCTGTGCGCATTGGCAATGGCCTGAAAACGAGAAGACCTTGACTCCTGGTGGGGAAGATCCTCCATCACTGATGCTAAGTCACTAAAAGTGAACCAGATCTCAACCAGGTCCCCAAACGTGTGGAAGGCAAAGAAAGCATAGTCTGCAAAGAGGCCAACAAAGAGGTCACTTTTCCAGGCCCCAGATGGGGAGGCCAGGGCTTGTTTGGGTAATGTCTGATGGTGCAGGACCACCAATGGCTGAAGCTGAGAGGCCCTGAGCACCTCAAGAAGTCTTCTGTAGCACTGTACTGTGCTCTTGTCTGGCTCCCGGGAGCTTCCTGTTGGGAGAAGTTGTGCCCAAGGAAGAAAGACTTTATAGTGGGTCACCCCACTGGCATAAAGGCTGGCAAAGTATTCGGGCAAGGTGGCAATCAATGACTGACTGCAGATGTGAGCATCCAGGCTAGGTGCTGCAAGGTTAGACCCTTGCTCACTTAATGGATGATTCTTGTCCTGAATCACATCACTGGGAAGAGGGCCAGCAGCTGCAATGAAATTCCGGGTAGATTCCCAGTCCACTGCCCAGCAGGGAAAACTGGACAGAAGAACAAACAGTATATTCCAAGCCAGCTCCATTTCTAATGACAAATTCTAAAGATGCAGGGATCTTTGGTATTTAAATACAAAATCTGGAATTGTAAAATGCTAAAGGATTGTAAAAGGTAATGATTAACACAGATTATCTGTAAAAATAAACTATAAACTATGTACTCAGCACAAAGAAAGAGAACATACTGTAGCCTATGGTGGTAGCTAGGTGGCGCAGTGACCAGAGCACTGGCCCTGGAGTCAAGAATACCTGAGTTCAAATCCAGATTCACATACTTACTAGCTATGTGACTTGGGCAAGCTTTTTAACCTCTGTTTACCTTAATCCACTGCAGAAGGAAATGGCAAACCACCCCAGCATCCTTGTCAAGAAAACCCCATGGACAGTAGTGGCATGCCATGCTCCATAGGGTCATGAAAAACTGGATACAGCTGAGTGACTTAAGAACTATAAGCAGACTATGGACCATGGAGGGTATGGTTCATGAGAACTCCAAAATTTGAAATAGTTTTAGAAAGAAACTTACTAAGTTATTTGATGGAGGAGAACAAACCAGAAAGAAGGTGTGGCACCCTCTCATCCAGTGTCTGGAAGGTTTATGTTATATAGGATTTAGATAAGGGTACTCATACACAAACTGCCAGAAAAGGCAGCTTGAAAATTAGAAAGATTGACATAGATAAGCATTCAATAAAATTCAAGTGAAGGCCAATGCTGTTTTGGGTGAACCTAAAACAAGACCTGGGTGAGTGATGGGTCCAGGACCTGGGGGAACGCAAAATTCCTGCTCTGGCATGCCTGGAGAGTTACTGAGGTCAGGGTAACATTCTGGGTTCAAACAATGTCTAGTCAAATAAAGTTAGATTTAAACAGTATAATAATTAAAGGATTTTCTCAACAATACAATAAACATTTTCCATGAGGGCATCTGCCACCTTCAGCATCTGTGGACATATTATGTCTGGATTCAATATTACTCATTACATTTATTTTGCATTCAGTTACCTTTTTGTGTTATTGTTATTTATACTATTATGCTCAATTTGTATAACATTCTCCTGGTCCTGCTTACTTTGCTCTGTTTCAGTTCAAACAAGTTGTCCTGAGTTTCTCTAAATTACTTATGCTGATATTTTATGGTTCGATAATAAACCAGCAATCATTTAATAATAGCTAACATCTGCATAGTGCTTTAAGGTTAACCTCTGTTTGCCTCACTTTCCTCACCTGTAAAATGGAGATAATAATAGCATCTACCTCTCAAGGTAATTGTGAAGATCAGATGAGGTAATATTTGTAAACTCCTTTGCAAATCTCAAAGTGCTATGTAATTGCTAACATTACTATCATGAA